TATCATCTTCTTTTGTCTCTACACAGAAACGACCTTCATCGACTGGATGTTGTTTACAAATGACGAGATGCATAACCTCTAGAACCTAATGCTGCTATGCCATGAATTAAAATAACAGAATCCAGAATCATCTCAGTCCTCAGCGGCAACCTCATCAGTGCAACCTCCTAGTAAATCGGTCCTTTTATATTTCACGTAAATTCGCGAATACAACATGGAACTTGAAATGCAAATGTCCTATTTAATGTAACAAGTCAACAAGTACATTAAATACTCCTATTTACCTCCTATTTCCTCCGGAAACTTGAAAACATAGGACGCAACAGCTTGGATTCCAATTATGGCGAATTTTGAATTCCATATGGCAGTTTTCGTGGCGATTCCATCGATCCATCACTTGCACGTGAAATTCTGTATCAGCCAAAATAAAGTTTTGAAAAAAGTTTAATTTCAGAGTTCCACTACTACACAATAATATTTTGTTGTGAGAATCGCGCGGATCTTTTGCGAAATATTTGCTTTCGGCGTTTGTCTAACTTTATATTTCATTGTGTGAGAATGCACGTATGCTTTCAGCATTGTTGTCAAAGTAATTCGCGCGCAAGCTTCACTTTCGGCCATTCAAAACATAGGCAGGATACAGGCTGGCGTTCCGAACTATAGTAGTGCTGCCACACTACGATCTGTCCCGTAACTGACTCGTAGACTGATCGAGTCTCTTCGAGTATTATCAAATCAAAGTACGCGCGTAACTTTTTATAACATGGAACATCCTGAAGTTATCCTGTGTACGCTCGGAGCGCCTTAGGGCGCTCTCCTGACATTTTGCTGCTGACATGATGCTGGGATATTATCTTGTACCATTAAAACTCATTCGATACTCTCAATGATTGTCAGTCTGTTATAAATGACTACTACATGACCTCCTAGAGGCCTAGTCCATATGCCGATCTGGCGTATCCTTTCCTATAATTGACCGTTAAAAGACCTTTAGGTAGAGTAATTCGAGTAGTCGTGAAAACGGGGAACGCTTGTATCAGTGTATTGCGATGACGTGATGCCAGATGCTCGCAGTACCGCGGGTAGTGGATTATGGAACGCAGCCATAATTGATTACGATTGATACGCAGCTTGCTTTTTACACTTTATAAGACACAGGGATTTAAATTTTGCGTACCGGAAAACGCGCAACGTTTCCGATTTTGCTTCTGGCGGTTGTGCGTTACGTGAAAAATACGAAAAAAATATGGGACATCACCCGCAGGAATGAAAGGGGGTAATAATAATAATAATAATAATAATAATAAGAAGAAGAAGAAGAAGAAGAAGAAGAAGAAGAAGAAGAAGAAGAGGAAGAAGAAACTAAGAATCAAGCTTCATAATAAATCGGCATCGCCTCAGCCAGATTTAGATACAGTGGATATTGTCTTTTCCATATAATAACATCAGAGTTTATCTTATATCGAAAATTTTCTAAAGATTTTCTAAAAGAATATTCAGTTTACACAGTTAAGAAGAAATAAAAATAGAATAAAATTAAATTAATCGAATTACATCAAGTAATCACAGACGACAATAAAACTGACAATGGAATATCAAATCCGGGTCATGTAATAGAAGAAAACGAAAGAAGATAGTTATGTCTCTACGCGAATACGTTATTTTCTAGATTTAGATAATAAAATAATCCGCGCTAATCCGTGTCAATTTCTGAAAACATTTCATCGATGTAACAAGTTATTTTTTCTTATTGAAATATTAAAAGGAAGCATCAAAAATTTTAAATATGATCATGTGACCTACTCGCCGAACGATTGAACCTATCCCGGGAGCGAACTATTATAGAGCCACCTATCACGTGTAACCTTTTTTCGAATGTCGGTAAATGGTGTGACATTCGCAAGGTGGTAACTCATGCTATTTGCTGCAATATTTAGAAAATTGTTACGGAAACGCGAAACTTTTTAATAAAAATCAAGAACAAAACGTGAGTAATCGGAGCTTATAATTATAATTTAAGTATTTTACTGTGGAATCTTTTAAAACGCCATTGTTAACCTAAAAAATGTATGTCAGTATTCAGCTGTTTGCAGCTAATCTCTCGGTACTCTATATTCCTCAGTTCATAATTCAGTTCAGTTCAGTTTTCATATTAAGGAATATTTCACTCGTGTCATTATGTCGGAAAATTTTCATAAATAAAATAAAAACGATCTTTTCATCAGATGGAACCTATGACTCTGGGATCACCGATGAGCAGTCCTATACAAACTCCTGGCTCTCCAGGAAGTTCCTCGGTATATCTGCCAAGTTTCCTCTTGGGCGATACCGCTACCGTAAGTAAGAGTGAGAATTTTTGTTAAGACTTTTAGATATACCATGCTATATTTTGCTAATCCCCGTCTCAAAAATTACAGCCAATAAAGAATATGACACCTCAGGATAATCCACGACATTTGAATATCACCAATACCAGTCTGATGTCGCCGATTTCATACGGAACTCCTGATTATCGGTCTAACCGTGAGAAAGCAGTATTTGGGAACGCTAGAACTCCTATCGCATCACCAATAAACACAAAAAATCATACCGGAGGACCACCGACCCGTGGATTGTTTGATATTCTAGAGACTTCGCAACTGTCTTCCTCATACGCACCAACTACTACAAATCCAAATGTCACACCCATGCAAGCCAATCAATCAAAACTCATGATGAACACAATAAACAGCCCACTGTTGTTCCCTGACAGTCCAATGACTTCAAGCACAAGCGAATCTCAAGGTCTACTGCAGTGGGTAACTGTTTTTGGCTTTTTGCCAACCGATATTAACGCTGTGCTGTCTCATATCTCCAGCAGAGTCCGAATAGTGGATAAACATCCAGCCCCGCAACCACAGAGCAATTGGATGCATTTAAAATGTGCCTCGGAGCAAGAAGCGCAAAGAGCCCTCACATGTAACGGCAGTATTGTTTCGGGCTCGATCATGATCGGCGTGATACCATGCACGGACGAAGGCGTTGTTATGAGCTCGGACAAGGAAAACCGCGCCAAACTGAACGGCAGCACGAGATCGTTCTCGTCAATCGCGAAAGGTAGTCAGTCACCGAATTTCAATGGAATGTCGCCTGGCAGACGACGAAAATTAAGATCCTTGGCAGCTGGTTACAATCAGCATTTTAGTCCGCAAACAGCACAATCGCCGGAGAACGTACCACAAAAGTCGGCCGGTTTAGTATCAAAAGCAATGGAATATATGTTTGGTTGGTAGCCTATCAAATGATTGTATCGAACTTTACACCTTCCAAGACTCAACTTGGGAGATCGCATAATAAAAGAAGAAAATGGAAAGTGTTCAATGTGATTTTTAACTAGAAACATCAAATCTTTCCGCTGTTCTGTTATAACAAGGAAATGTTTTAAATATTTGAAGTATGCGATGTGTGTACAATATGTACGATGTAAGATGTCTTTAGAGCTAACTCCTTCGAGATACATTATTACAAATTATCACATGTTACTCAAATAGCTTATATATCTTGATGATTATGTGGGACAAAATAAAAAATGTTGTACACATGTATTCAACTAGAACTGAATATATCTCTCCTACTCTATATTGTACATATATATCAATCGCTAGCATATAATATATTAATCGTGTAAAAACCTGAAGATATCTATACAAAGTTTTTCTACATTGTTATCATTGAATTTTGCAAAAATGAGTGGAAAATATCACAATAATTCTTACTTTTTGTATTTACCGATAGTAATGATACCGTGTCCACGTGTAACCATAACACCACATTGCGGCTACACTGTTATTATAATTAGTGCATTGACAATAGTTTTTTTTTTATATATATATATATCTCTCCTCTAAGTCATAAGATGAAAATTTGGACAATTCTATGGACACCTATTCTCATCCGGATCACCTTTCAAAGTTAATCTTTCAAGCTCTACTTCTTTTATGTGGCAAACGCTGATGATACAATCACATCTGTTTATCTTACGAAGAAATCCAACATAATGCAAAGTAATTCCAGTCACTGATAATAATAATTATGACGAAATTATTTCGTATTTTCAATCGTCGCACTACCTAAGTCAGTCATCTTGGGATATTTTACTTTCTTCTTGTCTAATTCATCTTGAGCCCATAATATCATCTTCAGTAGATTATTAAGTCGTGGACTAGTCGATTCTCTGTGCTCCATTTTCAATATAGCTGCATTTAATTCGCTTGCTATCTGTAATTACATAAAGCGAATAAAGCATAAAGCATAAAAGAAACCGGAGCAATTAGATACTTACTTTTTGTCTGTGTGTAGGATGCAAGAGATCGCTAAATGGGCTCTTATGTGGCTCGTCGAAAGCCAATAATGCCAAAGTACGTTCCAACTCGCATAATATATTGTCATCCGACTCTCCAGCTTCGCTCAGCTTATCTTGAGCAAACTGAAGCGCCTCTTCAATTCTACCTGTACGAATCAGTTCAATCAAATGCAATTGTTGCAAGTGAAAATAAAGATATCTGTCGTTATCCAACAGTTCAGGGTGCAGCTGATTCACCAAATCTGTAGCTTCTTGAATACGACCATTTTGTATGGCGTCTCTGATACGAATTCTATCATCCAAAGAGCTCAACTCAACTGTAGGACCCACTCCGGATTCTTGTTGGAATTTCTCAGCAGCTTCCTTGAATCCTTCTGCACGACACAATATCTACTCGTTAAGCCTTACCTACGTTCTAAATGCGTTCTATGTTTTCCGTTTCTTTCCCTTTATCTCTTTCTGTCTCTAAACTTTATGTCTCAAGCCAGAAAAGAAGATGAGGCAGAGGGAAACGGGAAGCAGAGACAATATCATAAATCAGGTTTAATACTTAAACTCAATATGTTCGATAAGACACGATTAAATGGTTATGTTCAATAGAAAATTTGCACAGCAATTTTTACACAGCAACTTCACAAAATTGTTGTAAATGTAAAATTTTCTGCCAAATTGCGACCACTAGCGATTTATGCGTTCTTTTTATATATTTATTAAGCTTTCCTTCCAGTACTGTACTTTCAACATTGGTTTTAATACTCTGGTCTGCTCAGTAAACATATTGAGAATGTGTCAGAAACCGCCAAGTGTTATTTAGCAGAAAATTGTACAATAGTTGCGAAGCTCCTGGTAGCATAATGCAAAGCGCCCTGCTCCATTGCTGAACATAATGATAAAAGTTAAAATTAACCTGTCACGAGATAATTCATGATCAAGTTGTTCATCGACACTCGTTGCATGTGAAATCCTTCTTTCAGCCTTGCCACCCACTCATCCTTGGATATGCTGTCTTGTTTCTCAGGGAAGCTCATTGTTCTCTGAGAATTTGTGCTGTCTCGCGCCGTAATTTTCACTGTTAACAATATCCTGTTGAACGAAAATACTTCAAAATAGCTTCGGAACGTATAACGATTAGTCCCTAGGATCACCGAAAAACACATACAGGTTTCTCGACAAAACAAAAGAAACAAGGTCGTTTCGCATCAATGGCCGTGTTCAGTAGACCAACAGTTGGACAACATTACTAGATTCTCCACTGAAGCTCGCTCCTGATTGGTTGGTACTTCTGGGTCTATGAAGAATCTAAAAGAATGCTCCAATCACAGACAATAATCACTAAGCGCTCTCTGATCACTCAGTTCTACTGAACGCAGCCAATGTTACGCGATCAATGTTACCAATCTAGCTATTTTCCAGTTAGATGTAGCTTCATTTTTAAAGCCAGCGGCACACGATGCTTGTCATCGTGCTGGATTGCTCGCTGGATGATGATACTGCGTTCCGATTGGTGCATCACCATCCATCTTCGGAAATCAGAACCAATCGGAACGCAGTATCATCATCCAGCGAGCAATCCAGCACGATGACAAGCACCGTGTGCCGCTGGCTTTATTTCGGCTCGCAAAAATTGGCTGCGTTCAGAAGAACAAAATGATCAGTGATTCTCGCTTAGTGATTCTCGCTCCTGATTGGTTGATACTTCGGGGTCTATGAATAATCTAAAAGAATGCTCCAATCACAGACAATAATCACTAAGCGCTCACTGATCATTTTGTTCTACTGAACGCAGCCAATTGACTGTAGCCACCGACGACCGGCTGCGTTCCTATATTCTCACTGCCAGCACTGAAATCTCTATAGTATATACGTGACACAGACTATGTATCATCAGTGCTGGCGGTAAATTTCGGAACGCAGCCGAGTCAATAATACAAAAACTGACAGCCCTGAGTAAATTTTCGTATTGGCCAAGGAGGCCCCGAGGGGCCCGGAGCGGAATTAAAGAGCGGCGATAACGAACGGCTGCATTCCGATATTCTCACTGCCAGTGAGAATACTGAAAATCTATAGTATATATGACACAGACTGTATGTTTCAAAAGTCATGATCGTGAATGCTATTGGTCGCGCGTACACGGTGACGTTATTCATCCGAGTGAATAGGGAGTTTTTGCAATATTCTCTCTCAGATACGATAAACATTGATCGTGAAGGCCTATTGCATATCGCATACATTGGAGCGTATTATTTTGATCTGATGATTTCTTTCACGGATACGTATTGTATTAATTTAATTCACTATCGTTTAGGTAATTATTTAGAAGACGGGCCTCCACCTAGCTTGGATTTCGCTCAAACTCACCTATCTTATGTATCATGTGTATGAATTTTTAGCTCATGTATCAGTGGTTATTTTTGTTTTTTGTAATAACCACTGATACATAAGCTAAAAATTCATATGTTTAATATATGAAAATGTCTTTGGGGAGAGGGGGCTTCGCCCCTCCACCGCTGACATGTACTATTTTACACTTTTCGACTAAAAAGAACAGACCATAAGTCTCCGTATTACCGACATGACAGACATTTCCTATCCTCGCATGTATGTCATTTTTTAACAATTTATTTCTCACAAACTAGAGCCAAGCGACGATTTTTACTTGCAGATTCGGTTTCTACACGTCGAAATACACAAGACAGGCGAGTTTGAGCGAAATCCAAGGTGAGGCCCGTCTTCTAAACAATTACCATCGTTTACTTCTTCATCGTACTGATGTAAAAGTCAATTTGGTATGAATATATTTGATACGCGTGATCAAGCGATCGGTATAAACTGGACCAATACTGTACGATACATGCTATCCGAAAGAGGTTAAGTTCTGTCATATTGATAAAGAAAAGTACTACGAGAGTTTCTTAAGCCAGCAGCACACGGTGCTTGTCATCGTGCTGGATCGTTTGCTGGATGATGATACTGCGATCTGATTGGTACATTTCTGAAGATGGATGGAAATGCACCAATCAAAACGCAATATTTTCATCCAGCAAGCAATCCAGCACGAAAACAAGCACCGTGTGCCGCTGGCTTAATAGACGTGACACAAACTGTATGTACTGTTTTCAGTACTGGCTGTGAAGTTTGGAACACAGCCTTAATCTCATACATATATCTCACTCGGTATTTGTTTCTCAGATAATTTTAAATAAATTCAACCGATACTCAACTGATTATATCCGGATATCTCAAGAAAACATCTGCGTGATCAATAACGTGGTGGACTTGGAAGTGTGACTCGGTTATTTTCACAAATAAGTACACTCTTGCGAATGTAAAAGACATTACAACGATATTTGTTAATCGTACCAATTTTCTGAAATGTGTCACACTGCATAAAAACAATAAGAATCCTCGAAGTATATATATCGTATACATAGAACATATCGTACAGGTCAGGTGTTGGATATATATTGTACGAAAAAAAAAAGTTTTGTGAGCATAAGTTATTTTTCGTCTACACAAGTAATATAAGAATATAAAAGTAGTATTTTGAGAGCTTATTGTACAAATTAATCGTGTACCGACAGATACCGACAGATTTTAAATTTTATTAAATATTAAATATTAAATATTCAATATTAATTAAACATTTAATAATAAAAAATAAAATACTATATCAGGATCTGTTATATCAAATCGTGTTGCCAAACTGCGGTCTAATAATATGCGGTAGATCCTGCTGTTGGACATTTGACAACAGATAGATTTGACACAGTCGATTATTTAAAAAATAATACGACTTTACGACTTTTATATAGACGAGACATAAGACTTTACGACTATTATTTTAAAAATAATACGACTTTGCGAATCAGAAACGTTATGAACTTTCTCGGCGTAGTGTTATAACGCATCTGATTGGTTACGCGGTTACGCATTACGCGGAAAATATCTTCCATGGGACTCCAGCCTGACGCGTAACCGCGTAACCAATCAGAAGCATTATGAACTTTCTCGCGTAGTGTAGTTATAACGCATCTGACTGATTATGCGGGCACTTATTAAATTTGTTGCTTTTTTACCCTGTATTATCAAACATTTGTAGTAGGCTCTAAGAAACTTTAAATCCTTTTGTGCAGGTGTTTTGGACTATCTGAGCTAGCACCTGCCTGCGGATTCCCTATAATAATTATCACTTCCTAGAAGTTGTACTGGCAGTGAATTTCGGAACGCAGCCTCTGCAACCAGCTCTAGACCGCCAATCTTACTTACATTTTTTAAGCAAACTAAATTCAACGTCAGAATACGAATATACTTTCCGTTTAATATATATATATATATATATACACATACACTTCTACCTTGTTATAATTGTTATATATCGACGTTTGTAATTGTAATTGTAATTGTAACATTATAAAATAACGAAAAATTAAAAAATAAATATAAATATTATTATAACTATAATGTTTTTGATTTTATTATTATTACTTTCAAAAAAAGTCGTAAAACGTTGTCCTAAAAACGTCGTAAAATAGTGTCCAAAAACCGTCATAATACGTCTTAATTACGTCTTAAAGACGTCATAAATATGTCCAAATAATGTCTAAAAGACGTCATAAAACGATCCTTCTGACAACGTCTTAAATCGAGACATAGGACGTCTAAAAGACGTCATAATGACGTTATTATGACCACTTTTTGACGACGTCTAAAAAATTTTATGACGTCTTTAAGACGTCGTAATGTTGTCTGGGTTTTTCCATCCGGGAAATACAAGACAAGTTGCGAATGCTGCATGAACAAATCGTGCGCAAGAATTTGCACACAATTTCCGGTGAAGCCAATAAACATACATACATTTGCATCGAAATAAGACATCGGCGAGGCGTATCCACACGCGTGTCGCAGAGCGCCGCGATGAGAAGCCACGTTTCGCCGTTTTCATGAATGAAATTGCTCCCGTTTCATATCAACAGGCGTCCATTTACTACGCAGCAGTGGGAACATTGATCCGTTCCTTCGGGACGGATCCCCTTCCACGAACTCATTACATTTCACGTCGTTGTACAGGATTGTAACAAGATGCCTGAGTGCCACGTCAAAAAACCAGTATAACGCTCGATCGCGCTTAATTAATTCGCGCAAGTGTACAAACTAATTTCACCCGTGAGAATTTTAGCCGTTGACAATGTCAATAAAATGCAATTTCGATTATCGATTCGGCTTCTTTTTGATATACTTTTTGATACTGAAATTTATACTCGCTACTTTAGCAATCATATAATATTTTGATTCCTGAACGAGTCAGACAAATTGCACAACACGGACTGCTGTATTATACACAGTCTCTTGATGCAACTTAATAATTAGATCGCAATTTGGGAGAGAAGGGTCACAATCATCGATTAAAATATAAATGTAAGTGCATAAAGAAGCAAACATGTAAACGTTTGGCATTCTTATATAGATAGTTGTTGACATATAAATCTTTGCGCATTTGTATCAATGTATATCTAATTTATATCTTTCCGTTCCGTAGTAGCGCGTATTTAGTTGCAATAACATTCTCTCCTTATGAGAGACATGCGCGTGCCGATACTTTTTATAATTTATATCTATATTGTACCCGAAAACTTGTACAGGAAAATTAATTTATTTCTCCTCGAGTGTATCCATTCTCATCGCGACTACTTATCTGTAATAACGAAGAGCCTGTTTACTTTCAGCATTCATCGGATACCGCCGCGGGACGGCGGGACACACACACATACACACGGTGTCGCTGGCTTGACGCTCCATCGCGAGCGCTCTCTAATCTACTCGTGGATATAATATGAGCAAACAGACAGTTCCAAGAGACACGAGTCGTATGACGTCACTGAATTTTCGTCACCGACCTTGTCGCCGCAGAACGGCCGCCTCATTATCATCGTCCTCTCTCGCGGCGGCGTGGGGGAGGGAGGGGGGGAGGGGTGCTACGGGGATTCGCTACTTTTTGCAGGCTCTCGCAGACTGACGTCAATGGGAGCTGGCCTACGACGAACTTACGCGATTTTACGAAACCCTCGCGACGATCTTCCCCGGCCGGCCCCGGGGATCGACCGTCGCGCAGAAGAGGCGAAAAGCGCCAGCTTTCTCTCTTCTCTGGAAAAGGTGTGGGTAACGTGTGTGACGTAAGCCGGAAATTTCGCCGGTATCGCGTGCTATCTGTTTTCTTGTTTTCGTCGAGCTCTATTATCCGCGGTGTCAGTCGGGGCGAAAGTTGGCCCCGTGTGTGCGACAAGGCGAATGGAGAGGCAGCAACGCAAGTAATAAAAAGAAAATAACAGAAATTCTTCCGCGTGGAAAATATTTGACCTTTAGCCGCAGCAAAGAGATGAATGATGCACTGAGGCATGAAAGAAAGAAGTCTTTTCTCATTCCATCGTCAGAATTAACAAGAAAGAAATCAAATTTATACGAAAGAACTATTTGTGACTTTTTTTATATTTTTTTGTACAGCTTTTAATACGCGCTATATATGAGAGAGGAAATAAAATAATACTCTTATAACGTTTTAATCTTATATCCGTAATTTAATTTTGATGCTTACGCGTAGTGTGAGTCAACATCAACAAATAATAATACATGTTTTTCGTTCGATTGACACTTTAAAGATTAATTAAAATGTAAAGAGTTTAAATTAAAATGCGAATAAAATCGTCGTTAGAATTTTTATTTCCCGTATACTCCAGTATTCGTCAGTCAGTCGGTTCATTCCCTACTCCATAAATATCACTTTTGTATTTATAATGTAACATTTTTTTTACTTGACGGATTTCTCAAAAATCTCGCATTTCTATGTTTTGTAAATTGCTGATTACAAATCTGAAGTCAGACTTGAAAAATTCCAAATGATAGCGCTTCAATGTAGCCGTTATATACAGGGGTAAATTATAGTGTAAATCTAAAAAAATAAATATAAATCAGATATACACGATGTGTATGAAAGTTTTTCAGATCATTGAATTATGAATTGCAAGTCATTTATTTCAGTAATTTGTTTCTAAGAAAATCTGTGCGTGTGAAAAAATCTGGAAAAAATGTATATTATATTTCGACATGTGAAGAATATATTCAATAAAATCTTCAGCCACTGATCTTAAATATTTTCCAAGAAATTGAATTCTTTTCTAAATCGCTTTTTTGTCAATTTGATTTAGCTATGAGTAATTAAAAAATTGTTTGTTCATGAAGAATTAAAAATGATAAGTAATTAAAAATGAACAATCGGATGGGAAAAACTATGGGAAACATAGCAAGTATCAATACATCGGAGAAACGTGAAATCATACTTATTTTCAATAAACTGTAAACAGTATGTCGTGAAAGAGAAAAAAAAGAAAGGTGAGTATACTTACCATTGCCACACACAAAGGGCCGATATACCAATCAAAAAGTGGGATCGTTTAGAAATGAGATATCGTCACGTTTTGCGCGAGAAGTGATTTGATATTAAATCAGCATGATTCATACAGAGCTCTTTGCATTTTGAAAACGTTTTGAAAGCGTATTTTTACTTACTGAACTTGATTTATCAAGAGTCGAATGCCCCATTTCACCTCAATGTTCTTTCCTTTGATTGCAGCTGATAAAGGAAGAGGCAATTGGAATCGGGACACGTGTCCCTATTTCCGCACGATTGAAATATCCTGTGTGTGTGTGTGTGTGTGTGTGTGTGTGTGGACTCTTGTAATTTATCGGAAGCGCCGGCTGCACCTGTCCAGTCCCTGTGCAGTTGGATACAGTTGCGCGCCAATTTGCGCAAGCGTGTTGCAGCAGCAGCAGCAGTAACGCAGCAGCGACGACGACGACGACGACGACGACGACGACGACAACGATGGCGCTATGAAAATAGGTCAATTAGGATGCGAAGGTGGAGAGCGGTGTTGCGGAGAGAGCATCGAGAGCAGCGAGTCGCAGCTCTTTAACCGAGTGCGGCCAAGTAGTGCGACTTGGTCTGGAAGTGCAGCCGCTTCGATTGCTACGTATACCACGCGACGGTTACCTAGGCTACATAGGCACCATCGCTGGGACGCACTTTTCAGATCGTTGCTCGAGATTGCCGGAGAATTGCGCAGGCACGATCGCGCACACGCTTTGCAAGTAGATCCGAACAAAATAGCCGCGCCGGCCATTAGTCCAGTTCATCGCGTCCGTCATTTGCGTCGATGACGATCGACGACGACGACGACCGCGGACGAATCACGGACGGATGCGCGGAATCTGGCAGGAACGATTTTACTTCGTGAGGGCGGACACACCCGGTTACTGATCGATCTGACATGCAGTTTCTCCGTGTGTGTCTGATTTATCCTTCTGAATGTATATAGCCACACGCTATTATCCGCGTGGCGGCATTGCTAGAAATAAGAATCCTGAATGAACGAGTTTATTTTATGCTCAGTTAAAGCTACTTCAACATTACACATAGAACGAGCTGCACGGATATAATATGACGTGTGTGTCGTGTCGTGATGAATATCGTCTCGGGGTCTCGGCAGTGATTCAGCGGAGAGAATCGCTCAGCGAGCGCTTCGCGCAGCTTTCCCAACAGCTTCAACGTTTATGATTAATTATGGCAGAAGTTTTCTGCCATAGTCGGATAGAAGTCGGATCGCGGATAGTCGTCAACAAACGTCAACATCATCTGTTTTCTTTGATATCCTATATTTTTTGTTTAAAACATTTCTCCCAGTATCTCCCATATCTTTGGAGATATTTGCAATTGTAAAAATGGGATATCCCCCATGTATGTGGGGCGCGCGCTTTTACATTCTATTTTGTAATTTTTCACGAGTATCACTTGAATCGATAAATATTGTAGATAACGTTGTCAACTTTCCGCGAACCATGTGGGGGAGGGGGGGGGGGATTAAATTAACCCCCAGCAGTTCTAAAACATTGCTGTATATTTTTTTCAAAATATACGCAAGCGGTCTAGTTTTTCGAATAAATTGAGAGGAGTTGAGAGGACTGCCGCTTCGTGTCGGCGATCAGATAGCAAATCAGTACGGTACATTGTCCAGGGTAAAATTAACCTCATCAGGGTTCAGGGTGGTGTGACTTTTATTCACTTGCAGTTCGTAGAGTAGGTTAATATCACAAATTAATTCTTTCTCTCTTGTTTATCTTCATTACAGAGGTTATGGGAATTAAAGACCCCCAATTTGTTTTCGTGTTCCTGTAACATGTTCCGCTTTTGAAGCATACTCAGCATGATGGAAAAGAGCAATCGCTCAGTGAACCTAGGAATCCAAGCAGTGAACGTATAGTATGTGGTTGAGCGCAAAATCTTACAATAATTACACCGCTGCATTCTCTTACTGAACACTTAACTATTATCAACGCAATATGCGCGAAAATAATCCATATCCATATAGCCTTTCTTCACGTCAGTTCGTCCTTCCGCCCGTCATGGAGTGACGCTCATTGTCAGACGTGTGCTCTCATCCATTGACGTTATCGAGCATGATATTACTCAAGTGCAACGACGTCACCCGTCGTCGGGGGAACGTTAGATGTATGTATGTATGTAGACGCCAAGAATCGCCTTTATCGCAAGAATCGTCTTTCTGCAGAACGATTTCTGTAGCGCGATTTCTGAACTACGGCCACTCCTTCTTTTTCTTCCCTTTTTTTGAAAGTGACAGATATTCTCACAGCCGTTCAAAAGTCGTTGGAAAACAATATAAAAATAATATCTTAGCCAAGATAAGAGAAAGAGATTCGAATGAAATAAAAAGGAGAATACCTTTTCTCAGCGTCCCGCGAAGAGGAGAATTGCGTTGATATATTTCGCTGCTATAATACGGGCATCGTTTATATATAAGAGAAAAGAGAAAAAACATATCAAACGTATTCTCCCGCGTGATTGACGCGTCGTCTGAAATATTTGTCACTCTTATTATTCTCGTATTTCTGTGTTTGAAATAACTCTGAGAAAGTGCTGTTCGATCTGCTTGAAGTACCAGGTATGTAAATATGAAACCGGAATTTTTGTATAGAAAATACACGTTTATTGTATGAAAATGCTAAAAAATATTTTATTCGAAGTATTGCCCATCGCTAGCTATACATCATACCCACCTGTCTGACAATTTGTGGATGCCACGCGAAAAAAGCTGTTGCTCTTTTGAGGCAAACCAGTCATCGAGCCATTTTCGTACATTTTCGTAAGAAGTGAAGCGCTGCTCAGCAAGTGCGTGTCCCATCGATGCAAATAAGTAGTAATCGCGGACGGAGCCAAGTCTGGTGAGTAAGCCGCATGCGAAAGTATTTCCCAACTAAACGCCTCAATCGTTTCCTTGACCAGTTTTGCTGTGTGTGCGATGGTGCATTATCATGAAGCAAAATCACTTTCTGTTGCCTTTTTCTGGATATTCTGGTCGTTTTTCACGCAAAACTTGATTCAGATCGATCATTTGTTGTCGGTAGCGTTGTCAGTATGAACGGTTTCGTCAGATTTTAGCAGCTCATAATAGCAGCACACCCTTCTGATCCCACCAAACACAGAGCAATGGTCTTCCGTCCATAGCGATCAGGCCTTGCAGTCGATGTCGATGGTTCGCCTGGAACCATCCACCCATGATCTTTTACGCTTTGCATTCTCAAAATATATCCACTTTTCATTGCCAGTCACAATTCGATGGAGAAGTGACTTTCTTTTGTACCTGGCGAGCGGCATTTCGCAAGTGGTCGGTTTCGGTTTTCCTGCTGTCTTTCATTCAGTTCATGTGGAACCCATTTTGCCATCTTCTGGATCTTTCCCTGGGCTTTCAAACGTATGGAGACGGCTTTTCTCGTGTCACATCAAATTGATCCGCGAGTTGTTGTTGCGTTTGAGCGTCATCCTCATCCAACAATGCTCGCAATTCGCTGTCTTCAAAGTTTTTCGGTGGTCTTCCACGTTCTTCGTTTCTCACGTCAAAATCGCCACGTTTGAATTTTTTAAACCACTCAAAGCACTGTGATTTGCCAAGAGCATGCTCACCGTAAGCTTCGACAAGCATTCGATGCGATTCTGCAACAGTTTTCTTCAAATGGTAACAGAAAATCAATGCTGTCCGCAAATCGTAGCTTCCAGGCACAAAATTCGACATGTTCAACGCTATTACAGACTATGCTGTTGTATGAAACTTGTATCGTTGTGAGTTGAAAATCTTTGTCAGATGTCAACAAATGGAAAAGGCGCCAATGACGCGGTTTGACGGTAACTACATTGACAGCCAGAGCCATCTATGGGCAAATTCCGGTTTCATATTTACAGACCTGGTGTAGGAAACCTTGTGATATCGAGAGAATATCGAGCCTCCCTCGGTCTGATGACGCAAAGAAAAAATATTCCCTCTCTCTCTCTCTCTCTCTCTCTCTCTCTCTCTCTCTCTCTCTCTCTCTCTGCGCCGGTCTCGCCGCGATTCTACGGGTACGGAGGGAGAGCGAGCGCGTAGGCGTGTAACGTCCTCATGTGGGCGTGCGGCCTGTTGCGGGGGCTGAAGCTAGGTGATTGGGAATGAATAGCGAACGAAGGCCTCGAGGAAGGGGGGGGAACTCTTTTCCTCCCTGTGCGTCCTCTCTGCAAAACGCACATGTATGTCGTTGCTAACTCCGTGACCACACACACACACACACACACACGCATACGCACGCACGCACGCACGCACGCACGCACACACGCACACGCACGCGCACGCACGCGCACGCACGCACGCACGCACGCACGCACGCACGCACGCACGCACGCGCACGCACACGCACACGCTCACGCTCACGCACACTAGTCGTTTCACTAGATTTTCATTCTAAAGCTGATCATTCATATCCTGCGGAGTGTATCCTTCGTCGAGAGGCTATGGATTTCATCCGCATAAAATCGAAAAGTTTAACAACGATAAGCCTGACGAATGTATGTACAGACAGATAAACAACGACCGAATGGTCAAACATTGCTGTCGAAACGTTTGTTGCGCGACGTTTCAATCTTCTCCTGCGTATTCCTGCATATCAGTCCTATCGATTTTAGGATTTTGGGTCGTGTTCCTGCAAGTGCAAGTAAAATTCGTGGGCGAATCGAAGCATTCGTATCGAGAGAGAATAATCATACGAGAGAAAGGAGAAGATAGCTTGAGAAGCCAGGCAGTGCGTTCCGTGCTGTGACAATACACACACCTCTGTACTTGTTTCAAGTACACATGCGCTACTGTACGCTCTTGCCACAGACTCAAGCAAGCCGCAAACGCTCTTCCGTAACCGCGTCACCGCTTCAAATGTCAAAGAAAACTATCTCTATGACGTCTGACGTAGCGGTCGCATTAAAATTAAAGGCAGGCAGGTAACGTCGTCATAGTCGGCCGTCATATGACGCAATGTGGAGTTGCTGTGCTTCTCTAACTTTCTATTAATTCTCCTAAAGAAGTCCAAGCATATGCGCTGCGTTCCGAACATACAACGAAGTTGTACGTACATTAATAATTAAGCAAAACGTGTTAGGTCTTTTTGTGCCTTTCGTCTTTTCATCTTCCCGTCCTCTTCCTTCACTTTAATTGAATCCAATTCTGGATCGAAAAGACGAAGAGCCTCCTTTAATGTTCCTCTTGTTCCCGCGTGTAAAATTGAGTGTGTTCGTCCTCCATAAATTCACGGAGGAAATTACTACGCGGGAACGCGCCGGCAGGTAGCTTCCGACAAGAAAGACGCAAATAGTTGTAACTCCTCTGCAACTCCTTTGTAATTTGTTTTCAATTTTGCTGAAGTACAGTCCTCCTGTCGTAAAAAACGACAAGTGGCGTAACGTGAATCGCTCCGTATTAGATTTCAACCAAGGATAAACAAGAGTGTAAGATCGTAAGGGGGAGGAGAAGGGGGAGAGAGAGAGAGAGAGAGAGAGAGAGAGAGAGAGAGAAAGGCTTATGGCCTTTATGGCAAAGAAGAATGCCTCTTCGAGTTATAGAAATATTGCAGATTATAAAGCTGCGAACATTGCGTCTCGTCCGTGTGAACACTGAATAACGCGTCTCTTCGTCCTTCTCGTATTACACGATACAGAAAGAAAGAAAGAAAGAAAGAAAGGAAGAAAGAAAGAAGGAAAGAAAAAAAAAAGAAAGAAAGAAAGAAAAAAAGAAAGAAAGAAAGAAAGAGAGAAAGAAAGAAAGAAAGAAAAAAGAAAGCTCGTAAATTTTCTTCTTGGACGGATATCGCGAAAAATTTATCAGCACCTTGACGTCATGCGGCACAAGACCTAAATCTTCCTCGAGTTCGTTTCATCGTATTCTGTGCAAACATTGCAAACATTGTCGGACATCGTCCTCGTGTCAAGAATTCGAAACCGATGACACCCGATAGCGGCTACAAGACATAACACAAACTCCGTGCCAGCTCCGATAACGCCTGACAGGCTGTCGACAGCAAAATAACAACATCTTCCTTTAGCGCGCATACACACATATACACGCATACAGTTACCACCTTAGGAAATTAGGATACGTCGGGGCAAGATATATATAGATATAGACAGGTCATCGCGTGGGCAGGTATATACCTTATATACCTGCATATACGGTGAAACGCGTCAGTGCGTACATATATATATATATATATATATATATATATATATATATATATATATATGTGGTGGTGTATGTGCATGCGGGCGAAAGAGCGGGTCGTACACACACAGTCGGACACACTTGTGCACGCATACGCGCGCCCACGCAGCGTCGCAGCATTGTGTGCGAAGACAACGCAGCGCACGCGCGCGCGCGCGCAGCGTCAACAGCGTCGTCGCTGTAGAGTGCTCAGTCGAGATGGGGAGAATGTTCGTTCCAACAAGGTGGGGGTGGTTGATCGACCGTACCCACCGACGCTTTTCTACTCGTCCTGCCGCCGAGCCCCGACCCGCTCATTCCACCCCGAGCCGGCGGACCCGCTAGGACGTGCTCGTTCTCCACCGTCGTGCCGCTAGCCTCGAAGAAGAGCACCCACCACCTCGTTGAAAAGGAAAACGAAGGGACGAGTAGTACATCCGCACATCGAGAGCGAGAGGAGCGTGAACGTGACGGTGAACGACGGCTGCGACTAGCAAGGTGATGATACGATTCGTATCGTACTCGCTTCTGCATCCGCTCTCGCTTGATCTTGCATCCGACAACGAGTGACGACGAGAGAGAGAGAGAGAGAGAGAGAGAGAGAGAGAGAGAGAGAGAGAGAGAGAGAGAGACCGCGAACGTCGAAATTCGAGACGAGGTGTCGGTTGACGGCGGCGGACAGGTCCGTGTTTCGCCGCCCGTTCTGTACACATCGGCCGGCCACTTTTCATACCGGCGGCATTCATACAGGTAGTCGCGCCTTGCTTTGGAATTAAACATGTCGTTGCGCGTCGAGCGAGCGTCTGCGAACGCGTTTGAACGCGATATTTTTAACGAGTTGTCACGAATTTGTTCCTCACCCGCACCTGCTTCTTAAGCAGCAGGTTCGCTGTTTTCGGGTTCGATCGGATATTAGGATCTACGTCGAGCTCTATTCGCGTATATTCGCACTCAGGTCTCTTGGGAATGATGAGGGATAAGGATATTATCGTTCGTTCATTTTCATTGTCGAATTGAAATTAATCATCGACAAGAGGGCGTGGCGGATTCACGTTACACACGGATACATACACTTGACTGATTCAATGACGTCAGTGACGTCAGTGACGTCGACGCATTCAGTGAAATGTATTTTTAATTGTGTCTCGCTCTGTCCCGTATTACGTAGCACGTACGCAGCACGCCGATAAATGACTATAGTATTTATAGACGCAACAAGTGTACGATCTCTAGGTCTACTATATCCGGTTTGACGCACGTACACTCGCTTTAATTGTCAAAACTTTACCTTTCATTTCGAACGTAGACGGATGTCAATATCGGCTATAATTCTCGGAACAATTTGCAAGCACCGGAGCCGGGGGCCCCGTTCAATCGAATCGACACGTCACTTTGACGACACTTGTTGAAATTATTAACCCGGAACCGATTAATTTTAGCGGCAATTCCGCAAAACCTTCAACAAATGTGTGTGTGACAATATTTACGAATAATAATACGATAAAACAAATATACACATGTATATATGTGTAACATTTATATGAAATATGAATGACATGAATGATGAGGAAATCTTAATCTTGAATCGGGAAAATATCACAGCGGATTTCCATATCCGACGAATAATAACGCATAACGCGATTTCAAATCAAATCTTTCTATATTTTATAGAAAAAAGCTACTGCGAAATTTGACTGCAGTCGGTGCATCGTGATATCAATATACCAACGCCGCTTGAAACGATTAAACGACTCAAAACTACTTTCTCGTACTACTTGCTTTGGCACACACGGGCCATTTGTTAGGCGAAATTGCAAAAAACACAATAACCGAGTATGTTGCACTGTACAAAACAGTATAGTCGTGCATATAGTATATTTCGTTCTGTGCATAAATTTGAACTCTGACATTTCGGTGCGGCACACAGTCCGAGCGCTCTCGTTACCCCCCCTCTACAACCCCCCATTTCCACAGCATCATCGTTCGAGAGTTCACATAATTGCGCTTGACAATTTTCAAACGGTCACATAATCAAGTGATAAGTAACCAATAGAACCAATAGAAAGCAATTTAGGTGTGAAAGCTCGATCGCGCAGCTCGAAAGCATTATTGCTTGGCAAGATATGAGAAGCTTTCATTGTGTGTGTGTGTGTGTGTGTGTGTGTGGCTTTTAATGAAAATGAGAAAATTAAATATCGGAGCGTGACAGATAGAAATCTTAACACTGCGCTGAAAGCGCAGTTGCGGTTGAAGTTTCCAAGATCTTGATAAAAATTATCTCACTTGTCGTATATGTATGGGTGTTAAACACCCATATATATTTATGTTGAATCATGTACATTATACTAATATACGCGTGTAAATTACATATGAATGTTACGACGAATGCGCGAATTGGCAAACCTAACCCGACAACATTCTCTTTTTCCATACTGTTCCATACTGTGGCGTGACGTAGAGTGTGACAGTGTGAACTCCTATGCCTATAACGTCATGTATGTTGCGTAGCGTCACAGCCGGGGAGAGTAAACCATACGTACATCGACTATAATGTCGTGACGTAATGTCGTCAGCTGCATGCGTCATAGCTGTAACGTCATAGTTGAAGAATTGTTTGTATCGTTGATTATAGAATAGATCCGCTTGCGACCCGCTCAACCTTCCTCGCTCGCTCTTTCCTTCGACGTAACATTTTATGCAATCGCGCAAGCGACAACACGAGAGCGAGCTCTCATTGTGGACTCATTGTCATACCCTCGTCAATCTTTCACACACAGCGTGGAAATAGACTCGTGACATTTCGCATCATATGCGACATCAGAGTTCCTCTCTTTCACAGAGTGTGAGCGACCCGCTAGCTTGAATTACCGAACACGCGAAATGACGAGCCGTGCGCCGCGTGTGCGCCCGCGCGTAGAAAGACTATTCGCGAGCTTGTGACTTTTGAAACGCGACGACGAACTCTAGTCGTCGGAACTCGGGAACGCATCGGAAATGAAAACACCGCAACTTTGTCGCAGATGACGCAGATGAACTGGGCGTGGTTGCTGTTGCTGTTCTCGCTGGTCTCGGTAAGCATGTCTTTGCCTACGAGCCTGATGGAGGATGCGAAGAAAGCGGATCAAGCCATGAAGCCGAAATGTAAGATAAGAATCGTCGTATTGCCGTATTCGTTCTCCGTGCTCCGTGCTCGCAAAGTTCCCTTCAAGATTATTCCCGTGTTCGTCCCTTTATCCTCGACTCAAGTGGCATTGGCGTCGTGTCTTTGCAGCAAAACGAGCACAAGAGATGCTGATGTTCGGCAATCAACAGAACCGGCAGACAAACGGCGCTGGTGATTCCCTCACATCGAACGCGGAGAAACGTGAGTGCGTTGCTCTGAGTGTTGTGCGAATAGAACTAGCCTCTAACGAATGTATTACACGGCACGCACATTTCTATGCGTATGCGTAGGAACCCTCGCTTCCTCGGGGGGGTTGGGAGGCTTAAAAGCGGCCCTTGCCGAGGACGATAAACCATCCCAGGCTAAACAACCCAGCAATTCCATATACGAGCATGAGGCTTACTCGCCGTACGACAGGAATTACGAGTAAGCGCTCGGTTCTCATAAAGCGACCATAAATTTCTTCCGATGAGACTCTTGCTGTCTTGCAAGTCAAGCATTACGACTTGGACCAGATATGTCAAATTTCTTCATACCACAATAACTTATAAATTGAAAGCACTCGGGTTCGTCACACCAGTGTGATATGACCACTCGTTGGTAAAATTTTGTCATTGTACTTGAAAGAAGAACAACTTCGACAAGAGTGTCTTGGAGAGTGAGCGAGTGAGTGAGTTGACTCACGCGACGAAGAGAGCGACGAGAGTCTTGGACACTGTATTGTATCCTGTGCGAGAGCACCTAGGCTACACAGGCCACATAGGCGTACAGGTGAAGGCGGACGTGTGTGGTCTTAACGCCTTCTTCACGCAGCTTTCGCTCTCTCATTCAGTCATACTAGTATTTCATTTCAATTTGCACAATCTCGTAAAAGTTCTCCAATTAAAATAAAAGAATATATATATATATATATATATATATATATATATATATATATTGTTGTTTCCTCTTTTCTGTCGAACCCTGTGGGTACGAGCTACCCAGTTAGTGAAAGTCGGCTAGTAAGCTTCGTACGTAGACGAAATTAATGAGCGAAACGTCCGCTCGCTGTTCCAGTTACGGCAAGGTCTTGGTGAACGAGGTCGAAGAGGACGGTCCGCGTGTATGGGACGTGCTACCGCCGTACTCTCGTTATTATACGAGCGAAGATCGTCGCAAGAGATCGGACAAGTTCACGGCGACAGTGCGACCGACCACTACGTTGCAGCCTCCGAGCAGCTCGTTTCAGACACCAACTCCTACCCAGCAACCGGTGCAAGCTCAAGTTAAGAGGAGGTAAGTAAGGAGGTAACGACCACGTCCCACTTCTCCGAAATTACGAAATCGAATGCCGGTCATCCGATCGATACGACGCGGGGTTAGCCGCTATTAGATTGCCATCAGTGATAAGATACTAGGACGAACGGAATATCGGAGGAGAAAGCGCGGATAAGTTTCATAACGATCCCCATTTGTGGTGAAATGTCGACGCAAATGTCGTTGCATTTAGCGCAAAGTCCTATGCGAGGAATCCACCCGCAGAGCTGACGAGAATTGAACTCGCTGACGCTCTACGTAAAGTAGATCGACTGGGTGTACCCCTCGACGGCGGCTCCATATATCACCACGCGCGCCCTTTCCGTCCTTTCCACCCATCCACCCATCCACCCGCTTCCAAACATCCCTCTTTTCCTCGGGCGTTTCTTCTGAATGGGGATGAGAGGGCTGGTGAGGGCAACGCCCTCATACCAGCCCTCTCAGTGCAGAAACGGTGGTCGACTTGGCGACCACCGTTCCTCGTATCGAACCGTCGTATCGAATCGCTTGGAGAAGGAGAGAAAGAGCGAATGCGAAAGAGACAGAGAGAGAGAGAGAGAGAGAGAGAGAGAGAGAGAGAGAGAGAGAGAGAGAGAGAGAGTTATCGTCATCGAAAACTACCAGTATGTTCGACTGGTACTAGTCTCTTCAAGCAGCCGGATGAAATGATGATATTTCTTGCGTGTTTGCGTACTTAATATCGTTTTCGTAAACTGATAAATGTCGGTTTTCCTTTTCCAGCAAGATTTACAGATACTGAAGCCGATTACGAGACGTATGAGTTGATTAATGATCTCTCTTCTCCCCTCTTGTTTATGTGTGAAAAAAATTTTCACGTCATCACTCGATAACGTGACGTTTTTTCTTTTTGTTTAAGAATCGTGCACTGTGCGCGATATGAAAAATGTACGTTTTCGTAGAAAGTGCAGTGGATTTATCGAGAGTTGAATCTAATTTCAGGAATTCGCGTGAATATGAACGCGGTCGATACCGCGAAACCGTAAAAGCGCGCGTTTCGTACGGAATTGCCTAAGGCTGGTGTAAAATTAAACACACACACACACACACACACACACAAATAGAAGATTTCAGCGAGTGAACATTATTAACGTTTTAAAGTTAGCCGTCGCCGATTGGTTATTTTTATACGAAAAATATAACAAGAATGCATCACGCCTGACCCACAAATGTCATAGGTCGCAACGCAACGAAAAAGAGAGCGAAAGAAAGAGAAGAAGAGAGGGAGAGAGAGAGAGAGAGAGAGAGAGAGAGAGAGAGAGAGAGAGGGAGGGGAGGGGGAGGAATAGAGGAGGGGGAGGAAGGGAGGGAGAGGAGTTAATTTTTCTACGATAAAATTCTTAATAGCGTACAACTGTTACCTGTATGTTGGATACGATTACATAATGCTTTATCCTTGCATTAATCGACAACATAATAGAGAGGAAAGAAAGAGAGGGAGAGAGAGGGAGAGAGGGAGAGAGAGAGGGAGAGAGAGAGAGAGAGAGAGAGAGAGAGGGAGAGAGAGAGAGAGAGAGAGAGAGAGAGAGGGAGAGAGAGAGAGAGAGGGAGAGAGAGAGAGAGGGGGAGAGAGAGAGAGAGAGAGAGAGAGAGAGAGAGGGAGAAAGGGGGAGAAATATGGAGGAGAGAGATTTTGCAAATCTAAATAATAAAAGCGCTCTGAATATATTTTCACAAGAAATCGGACGTGCGCATGTTGCGCAATGTCCGGGAAGTCGTGTTGAACTTCTGACCGTTATCTCCCACCTTGTACAAATCTCTCGCGTGTTCGGCACTTAGTGATCGTCTCGTTATAACTCGCTCGAGTATCTCGTTATTTCATTTAACTCGCGGAAACCTCTTCGCCCGCGATCCTCGACGCGATCCTTTCGCACGCTACACAAAGCCGCAAGTTGTGAACAGAGAAGAGCTAATAGGCAAAGTCAATCAGAGTGTCGGAGGTGCTTCGGTGCGGCAATTCTCGCGTAACCGCGTCTTCCAACAAGGATCTCCTTTTCTGATAAGAAGAAAAAAAGGAAAAAGAAAGAATCGCTATTGTTTTCGTGATTTAATAATCTGTGTCGCATTACCTCCTGCACTTTCGCAGACCTTGTCTATCATGAAACAGAAATCGTACTAGCGTGTGGAGCGAAGCAAGCGTGTGGGAAAGAGTGAGAAGGGAAAGGGAGAGTACGACTCTACTCTAGAAACGTGTGCACACCTATGCATACCTAGCATTGTAGCATACAGGTGTGGTCGTGCACTTGCACACACAGGTAGAGAGAATTTGGTGCAGTGCACGAGCCGCTCGATACGCGCGTGACGCAGGTGGCAGGCCTGGAGGAGAGGAGGTGGTAGAGGTGGCGGAGATGGTGGGAATGGAGACGACGACGGCGGCGGCGGCGGCGGCGGCGGCGGCGGTAGTGGACGGTGACGAGTAGAGAGTAGCGGAGGGTAGCCGTGGGCCCACGAAAAGCTGAATGGGAGCTGGAAGGCGGGAACTAGGTCAGTGCTTGATTGTTTGGCACATCTCCAGCCAATCAGCTGACGACAGTCGGCTGTGCTCGGCCACTTTATCGATAATATGCTTCCGGCCGCAACGATACGAGTGTGTTCCCCTTCCACCTTCCCCCTCTGTAACATAACAATCCGCCGACGCGGATTAAACAAATAGCATTTGCTGCTCGAGGATCTGAATGAAGAAGGCCGCTTATGGCCGCGAATTAACGAATTAACGAAGTAAAGAGATCCTACTGATATCCTCCTAAATATCGCTGGGCCGTGTGAGTCGTTCTGAAAGAAACGTGTATGTAGGGAGGAAGCGCCTTTACTCACTCTCTCTCTCTCTCTCTCTCTCTCTCTCTCTCTCTCTCTCTCTCTCTCTCTCTCTCTACGCGTTGATAAATACGCAGGGGCAAAGGTGGGTTAGGACTGAATCTATGAAGTAATCTGCGAGATTTGGGCGCATTGGCCAGCCTCGAACCTATGGAAGATGCTGCTCCACCGATCGCAGAAGGCAGAAGGCAGTGACAAGAAGGTCACGGTTCAAAAACCGCGACGATTTTATTCGTGCACGCGCGTTATTGTGCGCTGCGGTAGGTGCAAAAAGGTCCCTGTGTGAATGCGCAGCTATCGTCGCACAACGGGGCTTATAAAGGGTAGTTGTCGCGACAGCGAGATGTGAAATGTTCGTTTGAACCAAGGAACGAGAACGATTGGAGAGGACAGTATCGTGCGGACAGAGAGGCGAGAGCTCGATGTAGAAATGGTTCGGAAAGCCACGGTGTCGACGATCGTCGTCGGTGCGGTTTGTCGATTTGTCACGCGTCATGGACGGAAGCGCCGATCAATCTCGAAATATAGACATTGCGCTGACACACGACGGCGGCAATAATGAATTCAGCGAGCGATCCTGAAAGGAGATTGCGCGGCCTGCGATCTGAGCATACAGGAAGCGTCACGCGCGGGCAAGCGATTCTGAAATTTGCGCGCGATTGCATGGGCGTTCCCTTTCTCCTTGACAATGATCAAACGCGTCATTATGACGCGTGATGAGGAAACGTTGGCATATTAAGTTGCGGCTGTTCCGCGTCGATTTTCAGTGTCCCCTTCTATCAGGAACCGCGATACAAGCGGGAACTGCCGTTGGACATTGATCCTGACGACGTGCTGACTCTTCTATCGCTGTGGGAAAACGAGCGACGCAATGGGTAACGATCAGCGCGTATATACATTGAGAGAAAAAATTAAAAAAATAGAAATACATTTATTCGGTGGGTACTATAATGTATAACATGTTTATACTTGGCTTCTAATTCTTCCAATTCAATAGAATAAACAATTGCTTTCGCGAAAAGACACACATCAGAGAGAAGATATTGATTCTGATTTGCCAAACCATGTTTCCTCAGTGTGGACACACAGTGGTCCGCGTAAACGAATGTGTGACAAATTTGAAGCTCTTGAAATGTTTATCGCGTGAAAAAGTTTCAGAACGCGTCAGGCAGACCCAAATAAAATACAAATAAAAATTCGCCTTCGCGAAGGAGTGTTGCACGGTGTAACTCGGTAATTTCAAAGGGAACCTAACCTATACAATGTTATATATATATTTGGGATTCAACGGGATGAAACAAGTGAACTTTATCGGAATTATCAGGGATATCTCTTTGAAAAATGCTTCTATCAAAAGCATTACAAACATCAAAAAGCTTTTAAAGCAGAGCGCATTCAAAGTAAAGTAATGTAATAAAACCACAAATTCAATAAAAGACTCGATAGTTTTTTTTTTCGCTTTCTTACCGCACAAAATGTTCAAACTGTTGATTATCAACATCAAAACATTTATCAATTCTCACAACGAGATCACGTCCGACTCTTGACTCTAACATTTCGGGAGTTGTCGCACTAGCGCACAAGTTTCACGTACTCTGTATCTTTTTTTCTTCCTTCGTCATAAACATGGTTGAAACATGACTTTCTCTTTCTCTCTGATATCGTCGTGAAAAATAGTCAAAAAGTGTAAGATCAGGTGAACGAAGTGGCTCGTCGATGAAACAGGATCTCCGAGTGTCCGTTTTATTTATCAATCGTCAAATATCAAGTCAAAAGAAGTAGCTCTGGAAAAAAGTGAGGAAAGGTACAGAGCATCATGTTGAAACCAAATTCGAATTTTGACAGAATCATAATTCACAAGAAGGAAAAAGGAAAACAGAAAAATTCCTATCGAGTCCTTAATCAATTTTCAACTTTTTAAATATGCAAACATCTACCGAATAAACATTTTTTATTTTTTAGATATTTTTTCCCCAGGGTGCATATTCACCCGCTATAACCATTCGCTTGACACCCAGTGAACATTTGTGTCTGATCGCTCTGATTGTACTTTTAGATCAATACCTATCACACGTTTGAAAGTAAATAGCATAGCCGGATGTATCCCAAAGTTCACTGAGCGGTTGTGGTATTGAATACGCACATATCATCTTGCACTTGGACATTCTCTTTTTTGTTCCACCGACAGAAACTGGCGCAAATACGCTAACGAGGAATACGAGAACATGGTGGACGACGGCGGTCTGCTCGAAGAGGAAGACGCTAGGAGCGGTGCGTACAACTCCGTACTTGATACTGTAACCCATACTTGTCCGTAATAATTTTGTTACTACGATAAAGACGAAAGACGTTTCGTCGAAACTAAAGTTTCTAAATCAAACACCTAAATCAAATACTCTCGCATCTGTTCTCGCAGTTCTCCCGTGGATGGACGCACCGATTTATCCGTCGCGGCATTACGCCGCCGATACCCTGTCACCCTCCGACATTGGAATTGTACGGACCCACCCACCTAGCTATTACGAGCAGTACGGTAACCAATTGGAGCAACAATACGGGGGGGGTACGACTCAGTACGGCGCTCCGCAGTACAGCAGTTCGCAGTACGGCGATACGCAGTACGGCTTCCTCAATCTTTATCCTCAACGTACTTATTATCCTCAGGAGAAAAGGTCAATGATGTCTAAAAAGCGCGCGCAGGTGAGTCAGACTGGAGTCGATCGGACCTGGGCTTGCAGAGGAGGAGGAGGAGGAGGAGTGACAGACAGAAAGATTCATATCTCATAAATCCAAGAGATATCTCATCCTTCCTTCTCGGTATGATATTTCTGATTTTTTTGCAGAACTATGATCCCTACTCAGCCGCTCAGCTGCAGCTAGGCTCCCAACCACGAAGTTACCAGTATCCTCACCGCGTGGTTTATTAGACGATTCACGACGCGCGGAGCGGACGTCCGGAGAGGATAGCAGGGAAGAAACGGGAAATTTGTCGCTGACGAAGATTCTACAGGAAAGGAGAGATAACCAGTCGACGACGGAAGCCATTCGGCGTTTTCTTTCGTCGCTCCTCTTTAGCTATTATCCCTTTCTTGTAGAAGAATGGAAAAAGAAAGCAGAAACGGTGCTCGCGGACGCGCGCAACGCAACGAGCGAGCGAGATGATTCACAACTTGTTCTAAGAAACACGGTGCTCATACAAAGAGAAGCTTTCCTCGGGTCGCAAGAGTCGCGCTGAAGACGCCGGACGAGCAGGAGGTAAAAAACTCTTCTCGTAAGAAACTCTTCTGTCTCGAAAGAGCCAGAAACCTCGAAATATGTACATATTCAACGCGATAAATTCGCGTACGAAGGACGAAGGTATGATCTCGTGACGAAAACACCGTCACAGACCGATCTTAGACGAGGGCAGAGACGAATCGGCAGACGCGCGCGCGCACCCGTTCTCCTTGTCCCTTGTCAAAAGCGCATTTCTTCACGAGACAGTGTGCAAACACATATCAGAGTCCACGACTCAATATAAAAAAATGATTCGCCGTGCCATTCAGACGCGAGTTCATCAAACGAGCGGACGACTCTACTTTGACTATTCTCTCTCCGTGAGAGCCGATTGTGGCGATGAAAACGAGATGTGAAAATAGCTTCAGCGCGCTCTTGTTACTTGCTCGCTTTGATAATATAATGTTACGATTTTAAGCTCCTTTTGCGTATAACGTGGGCGCAGTGTGCCCGCAATGACGCTACGACTGAATCATTAAAACAATCGTAGTATCGAATCAAATTACCCTCAGGCTTGATTTTACGACTTTGTGACTGACACACATGATATATACGTATATGTATGTATGTATGTATGTATGTATGTATGTATGTATATGTATATATATATATATATATATATATGTATAAAGTGATAGTTTCGTTTATGAATTAGCATGAGACTAGATGTAGGATTGTCCGTCTATTAGATAATCCGGACCCGGATGGAAGATGGGGGGGATAGGGCTCCCAAACGATTCGGACATCCAACTAGCCGAATATCCGACATCCGATTTCGATCAGAAATCTCACACAGAGAACCACACTATTCGGATTAATTTCATATTATTCGAATTCAAGATGTTATTATTAATTGTATGATTATACATTGTGTCAATTATATAATATTATTTATACTATTTAAATATTATACAATCATTTGTATCGCGATTCTGGTATCGGTCAACTTGAATCAGAACTCGAACCGTTTCCCGAGTTTCAAACGTTACATCGATCCGTTACCCGAATAGTCGGATGGATACTCGGACAAGTTAGCCAGATTCGAATAAATATTGAAGCCCTAATAAGACGAGTATTCTAGATTGGAAACAAAGGCGAGAAATATTATATATAAGAAATGTTTCAATGTATATGTAAACGAGATAAAGAACGTAGAAGAGAAAAACACACAAAAAAAAAAGGATCAAACGAGATTCTTTCCGCGCGAGAGATAAATCTCATTTTGGCATTATTTCTACGACGGATTAACATTACAGAAAAATGATGCTGGCAATTTCTCAGTCGCTTTCAGATGGTCGCGTCAGATGCAAAATATCAAAAATTACGTATTAAAGAACATTAACTGCGGGATGCGAACTTGATGCAAATCAATTTAAACAGAACCGTCTCGTCGAGTCACCAGTCCTAGATGACAACGGAAAAAAGAAAAATTGTAGGCGTGATATCGGACAAGTGATCTCGTAAAGTCATCTTCGAACCAAACACGGCCTTCCATATATTCAACATTCCGAGGAGACTGAACATCTCTATAATTAATATATAGTTATATCAGTTGTATACGCATTTTATCGAGCGACGTGTACTTTTTGTTTCTTACCGATCTCCGATTAAGAATATAGACAGACGAAGATGTCTCGAAGACGTTTCTCCGCTTCATTATCAATTATCTCGGTTAATTCCAATTTTTTAAGTAACTCTGATTTGCCCTCTTGGTTCTTTCAATATTAAATATCCTCGTGATTCTAGTCATGCTTTTATCGAAGCATACAAAACAGAAGAACCAGAGGTATTCTGTAAGAGTAACCCAACATTCGGTGACTGACCGACGTTTGTGATTTTGTTTTCTACATCAATCTATTGTTTAGCGTAACTAGGTCAAGCTGATAGTGATAGATATATATATATATATAAGTTTTATCGGGAACATTCAGTATTCGCTATGTGCAATTAATGTTATATATTGAATGGACGGTAATTAGTACTGTTGTAAATGAAAGAGAATCAGCCAATTGTAGCTTTACTCTTCTCAAATAATATCTCGCAACGACGCACGATCGATGTTCAAAGTAAGTTTTGCCGAAAGTGTGTATTTTTGTTACGTATTGCAGCGAAAAAAGCAGCAACTTACCGTTTAATACACGTGGATAATTTCCAACACGCAAATTCCCTATCAACACGTTTCTGCGTCTCTTCCTGTTATTGATAATGTTTGCGCGCCAATATTACACACACACACACACACACACACACACACACACACACACACACACACACACACACACACACACATACACGCGGAAAAAGAGATAGAGGAGGGAGGAAGGGAGAGAAGGAAAGAAGGAAAATGAAAGACAAAGAACATATTACATTATATTAAGATTCATTAAGCAAAGAGGATTCTTTTCTTATACCAATGAACCAATCTTTTATTTTATAAAAGCAAAACATTTGGAACCTGGATATATAAGAGGAGACCATGGAATATCATATTAATGCGAGCAATTTATTTCTTCAGTAAACTTCGCTCTTGTAATTAATTGTCATTGTACGGAACTAATTTTAGTTTATTTCTGAAACATTTTGCGAGCGGATGACACGAGGCCCAAGTATATTAGGAGCAAATAATTTAGGGAATATTTTGATGCCGTAGCAGCGTGTCAGCAGTTAATTTTATCATAACACATTGCTTTTTTTAATATCGCATTGACAGTAACAATTGTGCATATTGATGATCTTCACCTTCACATATACAATCGTGCTCATCCTACGCAACATCAAAGAGGTTCAAGTCAGCGGCCATTGTTTATTAAAAAATGATTCGAATAAAAGCATCATCATAGGTAGAACGTAATTTTTCGACACAGCGTACAGCGTGTGTGTAAATGTGATAAATAGGATACGAATATAAACGGAGGAAGGACTCTGCCGCTCCCCCCCCCTTCCCTCCGCCACTCACGCATGATCGAACTCAATTGTACGTTATATCATTAAGCTTGATACGAGTAAGCAAACTAATGAGTAACGCAACTTTTATCAAGCGCAACAATACGGTTAGGTGTTTTAAAAGTGAGGATAGGACAAACCCCTCCTCCTCGTTTGTATTCGTGTACTGTTCACTATTCACTCCATACCGGTGCGCTATGTCGAAAAATTTTATCTATGAAACATCTCTTGTTAATTCTTTTTTTTAATACACAATAATTGTCAGCTAAAATCTCTCGAATGTTACTCGGAAGTATGATTCTGATAATATATGTCAAGGTAAAGTCAATCGGCCAAGTGTCCCTCGATACTTGATGTAATTATTTAATAATTTTGAGTGATTTTTTTATACGCAAGTAGTAGCAAAACATGACAAATAATTTGAGATTAATCAATTTTTCACCGACTTGTATATGTTATTTCTACATTGTAACCAGACGGTTTAATCCAAATCTTAAGCTATTTAGCTAATCGTAATTTCTCAATGGTTGGAGCAAAAAATTACTTTTGTAAGCAACCAATAGCCGAAAATTAGCAAATAATTCGCTTATCAAATTTTTTGTGTCCTGAGATAATTCGGCCAAGATAGCCGAATATACGTATACCTACAAGCAAGCACAATGTCACGTCGAGTTGAAGCGTTTTTCCTCTCAGCGACTTGTCCAAATGTTGTCCTGATATTATAATTTGATGATGTAATCAGTCGAGATCAGTTTCTCGCGGGTATGTTGGTTGATTATTTTATCTTTTCTTCTATAGCATGTATTTGCTCTGCGATGTGTGAGCCATTCGGCTCATCATTATAGGTGGGTACAAATAAACTTTTAACAACCGATACTTTTGCCAACTTTCCACTGTACAGAACCCAACTATATACTATATATATACATACATACATACATACATATATATATGTATATATATATATATATATAAACACACTATACCCAACTATACACACACACACACACACACGCACGCACGCGCACACACACACACACACGCGCACACACACACACACACACACACACACACACGTATATACAGGGTGATTCGAAATTCCCGCATTCGGAGTACAGGACATGATACTCAATGCTGAAACTGACAACTTTTTCCTCAAGCATGATTGCGTCCGCCAAGTAGTTTCAGCAGAAGAGCATGTCAGAGTTAACGAATAAGCGCTCTTGTCTATGTAGCGCTCAGGGCCGGCGCGCGCACCTTATTCGCGTGTAGCTAGTCAGTGACTAGTATTCACAAGTAATGTCTTTCATGACGCTCATATGGCTTTGTTGCGACAAGTCAACGACATCTTAACCCTTTGAGGCATAGTGGTAAGTATACTTACCATCTATCAATTCTCACATTTTCATGAAATATTTCATATCAGAGGGATTCTTGTCGGGTTATTTGCGTTTTTTACTTTTTTGATATGATATGGGAACATACATGAAAGGTTGATGAGTGTTTTGCACAAGTTGTCCATCAATTATATTTAAACAAAGTGTGAAAAATATACATTTTCACAGAAAAAAATCATTTTTCACCAACTATGAGTGAATTTTTTGCTAAAAATCAAGATCAAGGGGTTTTTTGGGTCGCTGATTACGAATCTGAGGTCCAAATTCGAAAATTATTTTTCCAAGATGGCGGATCATAGAATTCATATTAAATTAGCTAAAATTATACTCTGGTTAGTTTCAGAGCTTGCTGATTACGAATCTGAGGTCTAATTCTAAAATTTATTTTCCAGGATGGCGGATCATAACATCATTACACGATTAGCTGAAATCAGAGATTCCAAAAACGCCGCAATACCCATTGTCACTGAAATTATCGCAATTTTTCATTTTTGCGTCCGCCATCTTGAATTTCGAAAATCTGATAACGGATTCGTCATCAACGACCTCCTCAGAAACGACCTCCCCGTATATAAAGTTTCATGCGATTCGGATTTTCTGAAAAATACATGCCTCAAAGGATTAAGACTATATCTTGGACGATCTTTGATAATAAAAATCAACCATGAACAATATCAGGCAATAACCTTCCGCCGTATTGTATCGCTTTGATAATGAAAAGTTAATAAAATAAGTATCGCCTCAATTTCTTATGTAATAAATGAATGAAAAAATTGTCTGATTGTACCATATTATCTAAAAATAAAAGCAAATGTTGATAGTAATATGCTTTGTGAAATCTCGGTATTGTTCATAATTGGTTCTTATTATTTAAGATTGTCTCAAGTACAGTCTTAAGATGTCGTTGACTTGTCGCAACAGAGCGGTATGAGTGTCTTAAAAGACATTACTTGTGAATACTATTCACTGACTGAAGTACACGCGAGTAAGGCGCGCGCGCGCGTCGGCCCTGAGCGCTACATGGACAAGAGCGCTTATTCGTTAACTTGAATGGGCCTTGTACAATAAGCTATGTATTAGTCATAAGTTGTAACCAAATTGACCTCGCCATAGTCGATTATTTTTGAAATAATCAATTGTGATTGGTCAATTTGCTTACAGCTTATTGTAAAAGGCCTCTAACACGCTCTTCTGCTGAAACTACTTGTCGGACGCAATCATGCTTGAGGAAAAAGTTGTCAGTTTCAGCATTGAGTATCATATCCTGTACTCCGAATGTGAGAATTTCGGATCACCCTGTATGTATGTATGTATATATATATATATATATTGTATATATAAGCGTTGTAGAATACTGAGGTTATAAAATATCATTCGCGAAACCTCAGGATCATAATGATCAGATTTTGACAATCTGTTGCGAGTGTTAATTATTCGCGAATTATTTCCTATCTCTCGTAAAAAACATACGATATAATTTCCACGATTTGCTTTACCTTCGGTTTTCTCCAAAGATAAATATTTGTAATTACAACTGTATCGTTGTATATTTCTGCGCATAAACATCGATGATGATCCGAATGGAGTTGCAATGATATAGAGTTTCCAGTTATTGTCATTGTGACGTAGTTCATTGCATTGTAGTTGAATGCAAACACACCAACGATTCAGATTCTCATTGGATCACCTTTATTTTTTGATTGTATACTATATAATACTACCAACGGTCATACTAATCTGTAGATTCTAGAACTCAAAATAACAAAAATCGCATTTCGATGAATATATACAAAAGATGACATCTTACCGAGATTCTGTCTTGAAAATTGATATATAACGTGAGGATAATGGTTCGAAAGGATTTTAGGAAAAGAATCCGGGAAGACGGTGTTTGCAGACGATGTTGAGATATACGAGGGTAGTCCCAGAAGTACCTGACCTAACAAAGAAAAAACAAAAAATTTGGGAAAAAATATCTTTTATTTCTCTACATAGTCTCCTCATAGCTCAATACACTTTTCCCAGCGATGTTCAATAGCTTCGATACCCTAGGTTTATAAGCGGGAATCGTCGAGCTCCTCAAAATAGCCATCAAGCCACCTTGGTTTATTGTTCAGACTGTTCCTTCGTCTCAGGTGTGAAGTGACGGACCCATGTTTCTTCATCCATGGTTATGAATCGACGCACTCGATTCATAACCATGGATAAAACTCGGCTTTATCGCTGCGAAACTTGGCCAAACACTCGATCGAAACATCCTCACGACGCTGTTTTTGTTCCAATCGCGGCACCCATCTTGCGCACAGCTTTCTCATGTCCAAATTTTCAGTCAATATGCGATGTACAGCACTTTTTGAAATGCCTACCATGTCTGCTAACTCGCGCACTTTCAGTCGACGGTCACATCCAATACCATTTTGTGGATCATCTTCACTATTTCTGGCGTGGTCACTTCTCATCAGCTCGACCACTGCGATGTTCGCAGCTCGTACGGCCTCGTTCAGACTCTGCCACCCAATATCATACTGTTGTAAACGAAGGAGCAGACTCCCCCGGAGTAGAATCTAGCTCCGCTTTGATATCGGTTGGACTGTGAGGCCTTTCAAACGAAAGTATTGTGTCGCATAACGATGACCAATTTTTTCCATGTCAACAAATTCACCGAGAGCGTTCACTACAGATGGCTGCCGAACTGATACCAAACAACGTAGCGTCGTCCGACTTCAAACTTGAGCTTTATAAGGTTGGTACTTTCTACCAAAGTCATTCTCATCAAACAACAACCGCTATCTATACGTCAGCAGGTCAGGTACTTCTGAGACTACTCTCGTAACAAAATGAAATTTAATCTTCAGATGTCAAATACCTTGCATTCCCATCTCTAAAACACCCAACTTGTATAACTCAACCTTACTCCTATATCACTCGTACAATAACATTGTTATACAATAATAATGAGGCTGTCAGATTTTTAAAATTTCTGTCGTTGATAACTTTTCAATAAACAATGGGCGACGACTGAAATCTTTTGAATATCACTCAGAGATATCATCTTGATAATATTTATCAAATCAAAAGTAATCGCTGACGTCGCCTCTAATGTTAATATTTAGCAAAAATATTTGTTTATATCATTTATAAAATAATTGTTACACCGTTCGTAATTGTCAGTTAATGAAATTCATATAGTCATATATTGCTGAAAGCTGTTCGCAAATTGGCAAAGATACATGACGATGATTCTTTTTGTAAATTATTTCTAATATTCCCACACATGCACACGCACGCACGCACGCACGCACGCACGCACGCACGCACGCACGCGCACACACACACACACACACACACACACACACACACACACACACACACACACACACACACACACACACACACACACACACACACACACACAAATTTCAACACAAGATGAGGTGTCATCTTTTGTACATATCAATCTGCATTTCAATTTCGGAAATATATACACGCGTGGCGTTCGTGGATAAAAAAAATAAATAAATAAGCAACTGATATAATCGAAGAAAACTATAATTGCAAGTTATAAAACTGTGCGTTTGCGATTTATTTTTCCATTTTCTTCATTGTATTTCAAGATACAGCAGACGTTTCCGCTTGCGACCGCGCGAACGTTATCCCCCACATCGACGGATTCTGAAACAGACTTTTACAAAGCAATTTTACACAATGCGGTACCTCTCTATCCGCGGCGAAACTACGTAGCGAGAAACCTCGTAGACTTTTGGTCTCTCACACCGGGACGAACGAAGAGGATGGCAAGATCAGCGGAGGCCAAAAGCAGCACAGCAGCACTCGGATGCAAATTGAAACTAAGCATTACCACTTGGGGGTTGATTCACTTGGGCTTGCCCGCGCACAAAATGGAAAAATTTCGTGGATTCGCTCGACGACAACGGGGGCAACCACTGTGTGTCTTTCTTTCGATTATAGTAGTCTCTCTTGGACGATTATCGTCGTAGGACGCACAATTTTGTACTCGATATTGGCTGGGCAACACAACTATCGCATTTCGTTCAAGTTCATCCGAACGGTATGGCAATTTCGAATAGCGTGCTCAATCGGAATCAACTCGAGAGTTAATTCGTGACTCAACAGACTCAACTGCTCCTCCCTGAATGTTCACAACAAATCACAAAGAACACTAACATATCACTAACGGCCGTTTCTTTCCTTCACGAGCGACAATCAAACGAGGACAATCGAACGACGGTCTTGCTTCCCTTCTTTCCTTCGACATCAGAAAGACAATTCTTAGCTAGCACAAGCACACTTTCGAAATCTCTCAACGGATCTACGCTCGGCGTTTCCAACCGTTTTTTTACCAGATTGCTAAGGCAATAGATCACAACAGCACTATATATCGCACGAGAAACTTCACTCTGACTCTGACGTTAGGTAGGTAAAATCGAAACTCTATACCGAGTACACGACTCTTCGGAGAATCAAGAGCAGTCTAATTATTAGTTCCCGTTGTCACATGCACGCGTACATTTCAATCGAAGATTAAACGTGTGTCAATTTCTTTGGACCGGCTTCGCATCGAACGTCTGACTTGATTTCTTTTCCTTTTTTATTTTTTACTCATCAGCGGCCTTAATTTGCGTTTGGTCGACGAGTTGTCTTACGAGTTGTCACCTCATGTGTTCGTTTCTCAAAAACCCTTTCAGATATCGCGAGTAACGAATCAACGTATCAACCGGAATGCGCATCACTGTAACAGATTACCGAGATCCCGTATCTCGTCTCGACTCTCGATAGAGGTAATGATGAACGGTACTGTAAGAAAATTAACACATTTGGTAATTTTTCTCTGCATTAACTGCATCTATTTTTCGGTTCAAACACTAGGTGTACCTGACCACACTTCACCGTTGATCGTGTTCAAGTACGACAGAGATCCTTCTCTCCCTTCGGGAATGAATATTGAAAAATATACATTCCTCGAACATATTCAAAGAACCGCTCCCTCGAACTCGAACACGGAACACAATCACTTGGTCGTTTACATCACTGTACACACGTCGAGAGAGAGAGAGTTCATCTTTCATCTGTTTTATCTTTTCTTTTTTAATACCACCAAGCACTGTCCTTGAAAAAATCAGTCCTCACTTAAACAGGGAAGGAGGTGTGTGTGTGTGTGTGTGTGTGTGTGTGTGTGTGTGTGTGTGTGTGTGTGTGTGTGTGTGAGAGAGAGAGAGAGAGAGAGAGAGAGAGAGAGAGGCAAGCTTCTCTGTCGATTACGGAACACAAGTGCAATATACTCGGTTTTACGGTTGACGGATCTCAGTCTCTTCCAGGATCTTATTCATTTCATAATCACACTGCCTTCACTCTCGAGCACAGTTCGAACTTGAGAAACTGGTCAAAACTATTCACGGATTACTTACAGCACAATCACTTAAGCATTATGTCACACAAAAGAAATCTACAGTAAATAGCAAAATGGTTAATTGTACAAATGAGAATTCTATATATCAAATATACCTTTTTTTCTTTCTCTTAACCCCAGACCTTTCACATTTTTTTTTATAATATATACGTTGCGTCTCACATCTCTCGCATCGTATAGCTATATAATTTTTCTTTCTTTAATATCGGATGATACCGCTCGAATTAAATCTACATAATTCCGAGTTGAATAATTTTATAACAGAGCAACTGTTGAGCGCGTATCTCCCGTGTCCGGTAGAGAATGCGAGAGAAAACGTTGAGACGATGAGATGCATAATTATTGGCGACTTGACGTTATCAAAATCTACAATTGAAAACAAAACTTGAGCGTCTTTAATTCCATTATCGTTGATATAACGTGTTTGCTGCGTGTTTTATTATTCTCACGTGTGTATACACACGTGTACACACACACACACACATACACATGTCTCGGAAAAAAAGATTGATCAAAAAAAGGAGAAAATAATAAAAGCACAATCACTTTTGTGCAGTATGTGTCTGTCAATGTGAAAGAACTGTTTACATCATTACTATACTAGCGATATATATGTATTGTAACACAATTATATTGTATATAATAACTGTACCTATGTATATATACGTATGTATATGCTTATATAATACAAATAAAATCTTATACTACATTCTGGATTATAACGACGCTAATAAGCAGCATCACTTGTGATCATAACGATTTCTATACGGTCTCGATAAGACATTCGTCGATAAAAATTCTATCCTTGGTAATTGCTATCGCTGCTAACAGATGCCTAACCTAGATCAAAGGGGGGAGATGTGCGCATCACGAGCGCATGGTGTTGTGTTTTTTGATAGAAAATAAGTACTCTGATCTCTCTTAGTGTTGGTGGTAATCGACGTCAATCATGTGTGCGGAGTGTTCACGGAGAAGCGTCCGTAATTCTAGAAAAGTATATCATAAATCAAAATCGTATAAAATAACATTCTTGGGCAATAACGCTGAATCCCCGTCCCGATATCTCGTTCAATCAAGTCAATCGATTATATATCAATCGACCCGAGCTCCCGCGCGATAACCCTACTACGATGATGATCGATTTCACGACGATCAAGTTGCAGTGTAGATATTCATCGCGCACAAAGTGTCCATGTGATCCGATTCCGCGATCTACAATTGAAAGAACTGTGGAATCTGTCGCTGTGTCATCAGTTTTTCATCACCTACCCACAGGGGCGCTCGGGCCCCGCGACAAAGCGGCGCGTATTCCTATGGGGGGAGAAAAAAAAAAAAAAAAAAAAACTATCAAATATAGTATACGACTCTATCTACGATTACGCGCAATCTGATCGGTCATACTTGGAAGCCAGTCGAAAGCGAAATACTTTGATCGATCAAAAAACACAAATTCCCTTTCCATCCACCTCTCTCAGTCCATCTGTATACTCTTCCGTTCGTGATCGATACGTCTGAAGAACCGTCGCTTCTTCCGATGGAAAGTACAAGTAAACACGACCGAGTAACGTCTCGTCATGTTTTAGGCGCTACCTCCTTTAACTACCACGATTACCAGATGATCCTCTTTAAGACCCTCCTCGCTCAAGCTAGGACACGTGCGTTTCAAAAGTTCCGTCGAGAATGCGCACGGTGGGAATGCATAGAGCACGCCGGTGCCTTCAGTGTCCTTGTTCAACAGCGATATCACGCCAGCAGCTTCTTTCTGTTTGAGGTAAGAGACTAGGTTACGTAACGGACGTGTCTGTACATTAGTATCGTCATTCGTAATCGCCGTGCTCGATCCGGCCAAACCAAGGAAAATTGCGTGCGAGCTAGACGTTTGTATACGTTTGGACACATCATCAAGCTTAGGCTGATCCAGCCGCAGTCGTTGCGTTATCCGTAACATGTGCTTGCCCTCCTCATCTTTCATCAGAGCGTCGATGATCTCGGTCTCGCCGTCGGTCAGATGGAACTTGGCTGGGAACAGCGAGTTCTTCAATATCAGAGCACCCTGCCACACAGCGATCGACTTCCGAGCCACGTCGGATAATGTACGCGACGTCGACAACATGCCGGTACGGGCGTTTTCCGAGTCAGAATCCGAGTCCATCAGACGATTTCGCCGAGGAGAGCGCGATCTTGACCTATCTACCCCGGGCTCTCGTGACAGAGATCTGCGTAATCCGCGAGGCGCCTCGTACTCGATCTCGGGTGGCGGTCTTCTGCTAGACCAGTCTGCGTCGTCGCGCATATATCCCTCGGGATAGCTGCCTCTGTAGCCGCCCCGAGTGCTGCTACCTCGTCTGTCGTGCCACGGCGCTGTGCCTCTACCGCCACGAAAGCCCCTAGGTCCATAGCCGAAGTCACCTTCGGGTCCGTAAGGATCATACGGCGATTCGTAATCAACCGGACGCGGTCTGAAGTCGTTGCCTTCCTCCGGATATGGTCGAGGCTTGAAACCGAAACCTGGAGTCACGTCGGCGAAATCGACTCTCAGCCGACGTTCCGGTCCACCAAGTGGGAAGCCGCGCATCTCCTTGACGGCTGCTTGCGCGGCGTCGATGGAATCGTAGAGTATGTAAGCGTTGCTATCGCCCTTGATGTAGTCTATCTTCTTGATGGCACCGAATCGGTCAAACTCGCGTTCCAGTTGCGGCACAGACGTCCACGGGCCGAGTCCACCCACCCATATCCGAGTAGTCGGGGTTGCCTTGCCGTAGCCGATTTTACATTGGAACTTACCGATGTATTGACCCGACAGTTCCACTTTGCACCGATGCGCCATATCCAACGTCTGAAAGCGTACGAAAGCGTACGCGTTGCCGGTGCCAGGTGGCGGCCGCTTGATATCGATATCGTCGACGATACCATACTTGCTGAAGATGCGGCGCAGCTCTTCCTCCGTAATGTTGATCTCGAGATTGCCAGCGAACAGGGTCCTGGTCGCCAGCGGGTCGTCCTCGGGTGACACATGATGCAGGTAATTCGGGAACTTGTCCTTCTTGTTCTCGACGCGCTCGAAACCGTGCACCGGATGACGTATCATCATATGACGCGGCGGACCGTAGTGATGGGGCGGGCCCGGATGCACGTGGCCCGGCGGTCCGTGGTGTATAGGAGGTCTGACGAATTCATGATGAGGGGGCGGAATTGTCTCACGACGCATCTCACGGTGCGGCGGCAAACCGACAGCTGGTCCGTACACTCGCTCATATCTCTCGAGGGGCCTCGAGTGTCTATCCGTAGGTCCTGGTGAACGAGCATAGTATCTTTCGTAATCCGGGGGTGTTACGGAACGTGGTCGGCGATAGGTATCGGCTCTCTCGTAGACTGGCTCCACTAAGGCAACCTTGTCGTACATTATGATGCGTGACTTGGCATGTTTGGCATCACGCGCATCCTCAGAATTCCTGAAGCACACATAGGCAACGCGCTCGTCCAACTCGTGCGTGATACGGATGGAGAAATCTCCAAATTTCTTGTACTCCCTGTACAAGGTGTCCTTGATGATCTCGTCGCTGGCCTTTGGATGGATGGAACTGACGCAGAGGATTTTGTAGCTGTAGGACCGCTCCGGCGGCAGATCACGCGGAGCACGCAGGTAGTCGTCACGGTGCGAACTCGACTCAACGTAGCGTGCGTGAGAAGACGCTCGTGTAGACGGACTGGGACTCCTGGCTCCTCTGCTCCTACGCCGGATCCTCTCGGGTGTGATACGTTCATCGCTGGAATCATCATATCTACAAATCATACAAAATGTAGAAGCTTCAATGCCATTCTGTCAATGCAAAAATGAGAGCACTCTACGAGACGTTAGCTTACGTTAGAGATTTCTACAAAGGCTGCATGAAATAATGAAAAATGTATCACGAGAGTTGCACAGAATATCTCTAGATTATGGAATATCACTACTTGGATACACAACAACACGTCGAGACGACCGAGACGAATTCCATCACATCACTGAATCACACTACGTATCACTGTTGGCAATCACAGATGGCATGTTTCGATACGAAGATCAAGAATGTCGTCAACTGTAATACAATTGTAACGATATTACAGGAATTCTTCGTACGCATTGAATTTCTCTCCTCGAGATGTATCGTTAGCGAGATACAGATGCGCGGATTTTTGCCGCTTTCAACAGTTCAACAGCCGTGTAGCCCAGCCTACTATCCGTCACTGCAGGTAGGTGTAACCAACACACATGCACAATGCGCAATATATGTCGGAGTAACCGGAGGAAAAAAAAAACAAAAAAAAAACAAAAACAAAAAGAAAAACAAAAAAAGAATCCACACGTCACACCAGTGCTACGTATCAACGCGACTCATCTCTCATCGCGATATCTCGATGAAACGGAAACGGAGCGGAAAAAAAAGTGTGGAGAAGGCGGATGAGGGACGCGCGAACGCGTGTATCTTGTCATCGAGCGTGGCCATCGTCGATGGGGAAAGACGCGCGCACGAAGCAATCACCCCGAGGAGGGCTGCCCCCTTCTCGGCGGTCGCGAATCCGAATGCCGCCGCCGCCGCCGCCGCCGCCGTCGTCATCGTCGTTGTCGTTATCATCGGAAGACATCTTACCGTCCCATCGACGATCGGCTCCGCTTCACGCGAGGAGGAGGAGTACGACTCGGGCTCCTCTTCATGTTATTGCGGATCTTGACCGTGATTTTGTGCCGATCGTCCCGCGGAATCCCAATCATCAACGCTGCTTGATGGAACGCTGCAACTGAAGAAGAAGAGGAAACAGAAAGAAATGGGGGAAGGGGAAGGGAGAAGAGGCACAGAGAGGGTGGAAAACGCGCAGGTGGTTGCGCGTGGTATCAGCTACTGGAATTTCAGCGTCGTAGAAACGGTACCTCGTGGACGCGCTGGTCCACCGTCCGTCGCCTCGCCAACGTTAGTTTGCCGCAACGAGCGCACAAAATGGCGCCCGTTGTCGTTGTCGTCGTCGTCGTCGTCGTCGTCGATCGTTGCCGCTTACTCTCGGCTAGATCTCTCGTCGACGCGCGCTCGCGCAAGAGCCTCCGTTCACACCGTCGACTTTTGATCACGTAATTTCGTAGCTCGCGTAATTGTTGTCGAAAAAGATCGCGACTCGCTGCACACTACGAAGGACAGAACAGAAAACAAAGAACGACGCGACACACAGAACGAAATATGCCTTCTGTTCACACTGCTTGATCATTTCGCGATCGACAACGTGACGGTAGCGCCCCCTCGCCATATGGATATATGCGAGAACAAGATGGATAAGAGATTGGCCGCGTTCGGTAGAACCGAGTGATCGGAGAGCGCCAAGTGATTATTGTCTGTGATTGGAGCATTCCGTTAGATTCTTCATAGACCCAAAAGTATCGACCAATCAGGAGCGAGATTCAGTGGAAAATCTAGTGATGTCCAACTGTTGAGTCAGCTGAATGCGGCCATTGGTTGTGTGCGAGGCTAATATTACATCAGTCCTACGCCAATCTCATCGGATACGTTGATTGGTCAGCAAACGGAATATTTCTGGGATCGCTCCGCGTACGCCAATCAATGTATCCGATGAGCTCGTCGTACGACACATGTAGGCTGCGTTCCGATATTCACTGCCAGTACTGAAAATCTATAATATATGTGACATAAAGTATATATTTTCAATACTGGCAGTGAATATCGGAACGCAGCCGTAATATCAGTCTGCAGCCCTAGAGACAATTGGTCTGTTCTTCATAGCTGCCCTACCGAACTGGTGCGATAAGTCAGAGTGAGAGATGATATAGTTGTCTCATTCCAACTTATCGAACTAGTTCCGCAGTGCAGCTAGAAAAAACAGACCATGTAGCTACATTCCAATATTCACTGTCAGTACTGAAAATACATAGCTAAAGCCAGCGGCACACGGTGCTTGTCATCGCGCTGGATCGCTCGCTGGATGATGATACCGCGTTCCGATTGGTTCTGGTTTCCGAAGATGGATGGTGATGCACCAATTAGAACGCAGTATCATCATCCAGCACGATGACAAGCACCGTGTGCCGCTAGCTTTAATATCAGCCTTAAGGCTCGTCTACAATAGCTGTAAGAGTGTGGCGGCTTTGAGACGGCGCCACCTACGAACACACCGATTAATGCGAAGCACTCAGACCGGGAAAAGGAGCTAAAGGAAAAGAGAGACGACCCGATATAGTCAGAAGAACCAGATCGCTTCAGCAGTAATAAAGTCTCGAACACATATGTCATTGTGTGAAATTGCAAGCGTACCTGATTGTGAGTGATATTAATAAAAAGACTGAATTTGTATTGGTAGGACAATTAAAAATACCCAGTGACCTACAAGAATAAAGGCTCGTCTACATTAGCTGTAAGAGTAAGGCTGTAAGGTTGCAAAGCACGAAATGAAATATTTTCATTCGCTGACAGCTTATGTTACAGCCTTACAGCCTTACTCTTACAGCTATTGTAGACGAGCCTTAAGGCTGTAAAGGTCATTCTGCAATACGTGTCGTAAGTTGTAAGCCGTAAGAACTGACCAATTATAGTCGATTATTTTTGTAATAATCGACTGTGATTCGCCAATTCTTACGGCTTACAACTTACGACACGTATTGCAGAATGACCTTAAGGCTGTAACGTAAGCTGTCAGCGAATGATGATATTTCATTTCGTGTCTTGCAACCTTACAGCTAAAGGCTCGTCTACATTAGTTGTAAGAGTAAGGCTGTAAGGCCGTAACGTAAGCTGTCAGCGAATGAAAATATTTCATTTCGTGTTTTACAACTTTGCAGCCTTAAGGCTCGTCTACATTAGCTGTAAGAGTAAGGCTGTAAGGTTGCAAGACACAAAATGAAATATTTTCATTCGCTGACAGCTTACGTTACAGCCTTACAGCCTTACTCTTACAGCTGTTGTAGACGAGCCTTTACTCTTACAGCTAATGTAGACGAACCTTAATGTAGACGAGCCTTTATAAGAAAGAAACACAAGCGGTGTCTCGCTTGCTGATTGGCTGACTGCCATACTGTTGTACAGAGGTTAAAGGCTCGTCTACAATAGCTGTAAAAGTAAGGCTGTAAGACTGTAACGTAAGCTGTCAGCGAATGAAAATATTTCATTTCATGTCTTGCAACCTTACAGCCTTACTCTTACAGCTAACGTAGACGAGCCTTAAAAATTGCCTCCTCTATTTTCTCCTTCCATCGAGAATGTGCGAGAGAGAGAGAAAGAGAGAGAGAGAGAGAGAGAGAGAGAGAGAGAGAGAGAGAGAGAGAGAACGCACAGTAAAAAGTAAAGAGAGCGTATCCTTTTCTACATGGGGTCTATCAGCGTTGCCAGTCATGGCACATTCGTACTACATGTGGCACAATTAAAGGTCAGTGGCACACAGACACAATTTAGTGATTTGGTGGTACATTATGCATTTCTTGTGGCACAAAAGAAAAAAGTGATACAATTCTATTTTTAAGTGAAAGTTTTAAATCTTTGGCTTCTATGACAATCGCATTCTACAAGCAAGAGTATGTAGATCAAGTATAACCAATAAAGTGGCACTTACGTTATTTGGAGTGCGTCCGGAATTTGCACACTATGGATAAAGTAACTAGCATCGGATTAACCAATAATAATAAAAAGAGCAAATATCTTTTTATCATGATTGGTCAATTCAATTACTCTACATTCAGGGCCGTATCCATAGTCGGATCTTATATTTAAGACCGTCTTGAGTTCACGTTCAGATATTCTGTAGCCAATGAAATGATCTGTATAGCATCTGAAGATAAACTTAAGACGATCCAAAATATAAGACCGGACTATGAACACGGCCCTCAGAGTAAAGCCCTAAACACAATGCCAGGCAACAGGCAATAAGAATAAAAATAGACCAATCACAATCGACTATTACAAGAATAATCTATTGTGATTGGTCTATTTTTATTCTTATTGCCTGTTGCCTGACATTGTGTTTAGGGCTTTAGGGGCAGAGCACAAACTTCTGCATAACGCATAATACACAACGTATAAGAGAATCAACCAATCAGAGTTCTTCATCTCCTTCCTTAGGACAGAAATGAAGAACTCTGATTTGTTGATGCTCTTATGCGTATTGTATATGACGCGTTATGCAGAAGTCTGTGCTCTGGCCCTTAAGTTTCCGAACCTCTAAAGGTAGCGCAAGAAATGTTAGTTTTTAAGATGCAAATCAAAGATACAAATATAAGATTAGACAATAAAAACTACTTATAGATTCCTCAGTTCTTATAAAATCTTCAAAATATATTAATTTAGCTCGAATGGCACAAAACGCACTAACGTAGCACACTTTTTGGCACAATCGAACACGGTTCGCTGGCAACACTGGGTCTACTCCCACCTTTGAAATCAGGGAGTACGCGTCAGTCTGGGTATACTGTATCAATGGTTGTACGACTGTTGTGTCACGTGAATACAGCCTGTGCGAATTGTGCATGAGACGAAACTCACCTTTCGAAGATATTTTTCTTACATAATATTAGTAGTATAATATTAAGGCCATCACACACAAACGAACGTAAGCAGTAAGACATAAGCAGTAAAGAAACTGACCAATCACAATCAATTATTCTCGTAAGTTTTAAAATGGCGTCCTTAAATTTCGAATGTGATTGGTCGATTTGCTTACTGCTTACGTCTTACTGCTTAAGGCCTTTGCACGTAGAAAATCTGTAACTGCAACCGTAAGGTCGTAAGAAAACTGACCAATCACAGTCGATTGTTCTCCTTGCACTAGAGGAATAATCGACTGAGATTGGTCAGTTTTCTTGCGGCCTTACGTTTACGGTTAAATTCTTCTACGTGCAACGGCCTTAAAGTTTATTTGTGTATGATGGCCTTTAGCAGTGCAATTGTATAATGTATAGAACATTATAAAGCACCCAATGGGTCATACTCTCCATTTTATTCTTGGATAACTGACAACAGTTGTAAGTTAATTAACTACAAAATTCATACGCATATGATAAAAATTGTATATTAGCGTTAAAGGTTATTAGCAGATAATCAAGTTTCTGCGATAGATCAGATGTGAGATATTACTGGTTACAGCATTTTTTTAATTTATGGCGTGGCGAATGAAAAAGAGAATATGTGTTGGAAAATAATGGAAGAAAGATAACGCTAAGAAGGGCAGAGATCTTTATAAAGAAAATATAGAAGAAGATGATAACAGTGAAGCGAGTTCATAATGACTCTGCTAATACGAAGATGCAGATATACCAATTATTGGTGCTATACAAAGCCTCTAAAGACCGATGAGCTATGCTTTCCAATGCTATTCGATCGAAATGTGACAAGAAGTATGCGTAGTATGTACACGAATGCAAGTAGTTTGGATGGTAGAGTCAAAAGATGTTTAGATTATCTTGCAAATGAATATAAGAATAAAACCTTGAAAAGTAATAGTTTTTTCGAATCAATCAGTCGGGACACCACTAGTGGATTGTTGGACAAAAGGATACAACTGGTAGAAAATATTCAGAATTTACAAGATCTAGGTATGTAGCGTATCAGATATTATATTCTCATTGCAACGATACTCGATCCTTATACATCGATACTGGATATAGAAATATTATCAACGGTCAGCAGTATCATTCGATTCGTGCAATTTAAACTTGTAATCATGAATAAAGGATACAAAGTCAATTGTGTTTATAATTCTTTGTATTCTTCATTTATATGTATTATCTTAATATATAAATAAGCCAGCTGTAATATATATATATATATATATATATAAGGAATAATCAACACTTTGTACAATATTATATTTTATGACTCAATATGTGTCTCTTCCTGATAGTAATTATTTTACGTAATAATTTAAAAGCTTGAAATATTTTCTTTACCAGCATTAATGTTGGAAAAGTATATATTAGTCGGTGAGAGTTTATACTTGTGTATTACTTACCGCAATACATAAAACTGTCATTATCTTTGCGCAGTGAAACAAGATACAGAGATAAAAAAATTAGCAGAAGAAGAAGAGCTAGTGTACAAGGAACAATTGGATGAACTGGATAAGAACTTGTTGGATATAATATTGGCTGATATGTGCAAAGAGTGTTGCGACAATATCATAATTGAAATAACAGCAGGTGTCGGCGGCCAGGAAGCTATGCTGTTTGTTAAAAACTTGTACGAAATGTACATAGGCTATGCTGAATACTTGGGTCTGTGTCACGAGGTACTGGACATGGACACGACTGACTGCAATGGCTATAGGAATGTTACTATCATAGTGTCTGGTAAACAAACATCCAAGTTCAGGTACGAAGGTGGTGTACATCGAGTGCAGCGAGTGCCGACTACGGAAAAGTTGGGCAGGGTGCATACTAGTACCGCTTCGGTGGCAATTTTACCAATACCATCGGAAGTGGAGATCGTAATCAATGAGAGAGACTTGAAAATAGAGACAAAACGAGCATCTGGCTCGGGTGGTCAGCATGTAAATAAAACGAATTCTGCCGTGAGGATAACTCACATACCGACAGGATTGATCGTGGAATGCCAAGTACATAGGTCGCAGATTAGAAATAAAAAACTGGCAATGATGAGGCTGAGGAATATGATGTATGAGCAACAACTGAACAAGCAGACATCATTCAGAAGCGAACTGCGGAAGAAGCAGATAGGCATGGGATTCAGAAATGAGAAAGTCAGAACATATAATTACAACCAGGATCGTGTGACTGATCATAGGTTACAGAATGGCACTTTCTACAATTTGAGCGAATTTATGCAGGGTGGCGCGGGACTGGAGCAGCTGGAAGACAAACTACACAAAGATACGCGGATGAAGGCGCTGTTGGAAGTTGTAAAACAGTTGGAGATACAACAGACATAATACATAAATTTTTCAGTCGAGTCATCATCTCGATACAATAATCCTTTGTTTCATGCAAATGTTTGTATATGTCCAAAAATTATAATACACGTTCGTATAATATGGATCAAGTTGTCTATTCTTTGAGGAAACCTTCAGAATCTGATGTTAGTATACGGAATAATGCTCAATAAACTTTTTTCTTGATAAAATTTTGCAGTTTTTTTTCTTTTCATTTCCATAGCGCGATACTATCGCATCTTCTGAATTTAAAAAGAATTTCAAAAATTAGAAATTCATCCGTTCCGTTTTCCGTTAGTTCCGTGCCTTGGGAATGCTAAGCCATCGAAAACCGGAACGGAATTAAAACGGAATTACTCTGACAGGCTAACCCCCCGCTATATCTCTTTTCCGTAACTGTTCCGTTCCGCTGTTTCTTGCTCCATCGGCGTGCACCCTTAGGGCAAGAGCACAGGCTTTTGCATAACACATAATACATAACACACAAGAGAATTGACCAATTAGTTTTTTTCATTTCCCTCCTCAGGACAGAAATGAAGAACTCTGATTGGTTGATTCTCTTATGCGTTGTGTATTATGCGTTATGCACAAGTCAGTGCTCTGGCCCCCACTCTCAAGTTGGAGTGGCGTTCTATCGTTCCGCCAGTCTATTGATTCGTCGTTCCCTGTTCGTGTCAACTACATGACGTGGTAACGATGGCAAGATAGTAATACCAATATTACAAGTTGCCGGTGTTGTGCTTGAGTTGACGAAACTCTGAACGTCATCACCGCGAAATCGCGATATTTCTCATTATTCCCTGCGCGTCGAATCATCATGATGTTGCAATCAATATTCGACGATGTTCGGCGTATGAATAAACGCCAGGTAAATTATCATCAGCGTTCTGGTCGAGCGACTGTCACATATGGTAGTCGTGCACGGCAGAAAAATTTATATTCTGTTAATTTTCAGTTCCTGTATCAAGTGCTGAGCTTTGGCATGATAGTATCGTCAGCGTTGATGATATGGAAAGGTCTGATGGTCATCACCGGCAGCGAAAGTCCTATCGTAGTAGTGTTGAGGTATGGAAGGAACCTGATCTAACCTAACTTACTGGTTTCAGCATAGCGCGTGCTCTTATAATGATTTCGTCCTGCTCAGACGCAAGCTGATTCAAAATTTATCCGTTGTAACGTCCATGTGAGTCTGCGATTTTGCACACGTCTGATACGTCAGTATCAAAATTGTGTGTGTGCTATTTCATATATCGTTTACCATCATTATACATTATACTATATCGTGACGTGTAAATTTATGGAATTTTGATAAAATATCACCGTCATAGATGTGAATTATGGCACCAACCGTATAATAACACAATCCTATGTCAGTATATATTTTATGCAAATGTTATTTTCTAAAAATAAAAGTAAAATAACAATATAGCGTGAAATAGATGTAATAAATATAACGAAACACGATGAAATAGGTAATTGCGAAGAATACGGGCCTCCTCACCAATTTCGCACGAAACTTTGCACAATTGTGTATCATGGTGCGTACATGGACGATTTTGAAACAAAAAAGTATCGCTCTCTGACGCATCAAAAGTTACAGAGTGATAACAAATGACACACACGAGGTTAGGAAATCTGTCGTGCCGGTAATGCCGAAGATTGATGGTCCGGGACCGGGTCTCGGTCTTCGGCATTACCGGCATGACAGATTTCCTAACCTCGTGTGTGTCATTTCATATCACTCTGTAACTTTTGATGCGTCAGAGAGCGATACCTCATTGTTTCAAAATCGTCCATGTACGCACCATGATACACAATTGTGCAAAAAGTTGACTGTGAAATTGACGAGGAGGCCCGTATTCCTCACAATTATCGAAAGATATGACAATACACAACTCGATGAAACAGACACAACTCGGTCGATACAAGATGCAAGAAAAAAATTCCAAAAAATTTCGAAAGAGGAATCGATCACTCATCGCGAAGATAATACAAAGTATGCTTTTCATTTTTTCTCAGCGGTAGCATGGAACCTGCGTTTCATAGGGGTGACTTGCTCTTCCTTACTAATTACGAAGACGAACCAGTGAGAGTAGGCGAAATTGTGGTTTTCAAAGTAGAAGGACGAGATATACCAATTGTGCACAGAGTACTTAAGCTTCACGAAAAGTAAGAATTCTTACGACATGATATCTATAATAGTACGGAGTATGATTTTACAATTCAAACACAATTTAAAAAAATTTGTAGGGGTGATCAAAACAATACGGTCAAGTTTCTCACAAAGGGTGACAACAATTCCGTGGATGACAGAGGCTTGTACGCGCCTGGTCAGCTATGGCTGACACATAAGGACGTTGTTGGTCGGGCGAGAGGTTTCCTGCCATATGTCGGCATGGTCACTATATACATGAACGAATATCCTAAATTTAAGTATGCAGTATTAGCATGTCTCGGTCTGTATGTTTTGGTACATAGAGAATAATGATAAAGTTGCTCGCTGTTACGTTGAAACGTTGTTGCGACATAGATACAGTCGTTGACAGTCTTGAATGATACATACGAATTAAAGATTACACTTAAATTGTTTAAAAATGCATATATTCATACGTATGTACGTATCACGTGCGTGCGTGCGTGCGTTCGTGCGTGTGCACGCGCGCGCGCGCGTGTGTGTGTGTGTGTATGTGTGGTGCGCATAATTTGTGTGTGTGTGTATGTGTGTGTGTGTGTGTAACGTACACACATCACATCGCTGAATCTTACACCCAAAACATAATGAAGCGTAAAAGATTCAAGTTGAAACGCATTTCTTTGTACATATTACGATATTAATTTTAATATGTTATAATATATGTTGTCTTCTAGGCCTGATCACATTTGTCCAGTTACACTAGTAGTTACAAAGGCCGTTGTCTGTATTCAGACTCAGTGAATGTATCAAAGAAAAAACTATCCGAGCGAATGTTCCGGACGTTGTCACTCACAGCCTATTACGTTCATAGTCTGCCATGTTCAATTTCTATCATATAGATCTGATTTTATTACGACGCCGTGATCGTATCCGTTGATCGTAATCAGGCGCGTGGCTGAGATAAGGAATAACGGATTGTATCGAGAATCAGTATCAGTGTCCATAGCATCGGAAGAATAGATAGATGAGGCAATCTTTTGATCTTCATTATTTCTACGTTGATTGACACGAGTGAGTGAATTAATTTTCTGGTGAAATTGGAACAATTCAGAAATTTTGATCGAGGATATTCAGAATTCTGTCAGAGTTAACTAGAAATTTCGACAATTTAGAGTAGATTCTAGTAATTAATTTAAACTGGAATTTTCGTGTTATTAATATTTCATTAGAAAATTATTCAATTCAACCAAATCTCCGTATACTCGGATAAATGAGACAACTTGCAATGTCCTTTGAATATATGAGACTTTATTTCACGCGAAACTGATTTGTGTTATTACGAAATCACAGGTTCGGAGGAAGGTTCGTGTTCGAAGATGATGAGATGTAACAAATGATGGGGAATTTTACAGGAAAATGTGATACGCGTGATCATCTATATGAGTCTTGGAGATGAAAATTTGTACATTGATCGTTTCTAACAAGGCGCACTGTAACTAGTATATCACACGTGTGAAATAAATGTGTAATGTGTAAAAATGATGTAACGCATCATAGGAATCACTAAGCCTTGTGTCATCTAGTTAATCAGACATCTTTCAGGTATGTGTCGTGATTTGACACAGTAGTGAGTACGACCGTTGAGTTAATTTCAAACGTGACACGATCGGCTAGACCAGAGAACAGAGTCGATGAGACTTAAGACACTCACAGGGAAAGGGTTGGAACTGTGTCCCTCGCTTTTGATTTCGATGGGCTCGGGATATGTTGCGGAGCAACAAATGATATTGGACACGTATTTTTTTTATGGGCGTATTTCAAGATCAAGAGGATGAAACAACTCGTATGAGATAACCAGCATTTTCATTTCTCGCGAATATTCTCTAAATCATTTCCAGTGTAGAAATACGAAACCAAAGTAGGAAAAATAAAATATAACAAAGGTCGCGTAAAGGGCTTGTGGGTCTGTGGAGGAATAGAGTGAGAGAGCGGCAAAATTTTTATAATTCCAACGCCTAGTCGGTCCGCGTAAACTCTTATCTCGCTAACGGAACAATATATAACATCTGATTCTACTATATATTCAGATAGGCGGAGAACATAGCGGACTGAATGTAAATTATCATCAAATAACAGTGAATCGTAGAAAGAACTTGGTCGATCCAGTTACAAGTGCCTATACGCAAAATATAGAACGATTGCAGCGTGACACGCGAGCGGCAATACCACGCAATGGGATACGCATTAGTATCACGTACGAAAGCTGTATTGCAGAATTTATATCAAAAAGGCAAATAAAATTAGATGACCGATCAGATAGTTTTTTTTTTCTTTAATAATGAGCGATGTATATCCATATAATATTCCAAATAATTACAAAGTACAGTAATGTGATTGATTTGTCTTCTCTCTCTACATGGAACTGTGCCGTTATATATACAAAATCTAATATTGATCCAATCTGATCTAACCCAATCCCATCAACCAACTGTACCATGTCGATGGATGCGGTGTTGTAAAATTCCGTCCAGAAACATCGATGATTATGTATTTCAACATTATGTTTATTAAACCTCTTTCGTCAGTATTCTTCTTTCATCAACAAACAACGAGCAATGGCTCGAACGTTTTATATGCCGCTTGGGACGATGATCTTGATGCAATATATATCAGAGTCATGATGATCGGATGGTGTTTCGTTTCAGTGAATATCAACCATTGAGGCACATTAACGCGATTCATAGCGTAGCCAACATTCCTTAGGGGTTATCAAAAGACCCGGCAAGTCGTCTCCAGGTTTCGACGGTTCGCCCTCGACTGCAAAGAAATTGAACGTTTGAAGCAAGGCGGACGTCAAACCGAAGACATAATATCTGCTGTAAGTTTCTCCCGGACAAACTCGATGACCTGCACATAGAATAACAGAAATACTTGGATAAATAGTTCTGATCAATCTCCTTGATATCGAGAGAGTTATCTGTATCGCTGTATCGTGACAACAATGTCCCGACTTACCGAGACCGAAAGGTAATGACATATCCTTGATCAATGCGCCGTCCTCGTCAATGAATCTCTCTGGTCTGAAGTTGTCGGGATCACCCCACAAGTCAGGGTTGTGATGCATCGCCGCCAAGTTGGTAACAATTGGCGTATCAGCCGGTATCGTGTACCCTCCCAGAGTAGTATCCTTGACGGCTCTGTGGAATACGCTAAACGGCAAGGATGACGATATTCTCATCACTTCTCGGATCACCGCTTCCACATAAAGCAAGCTGCAATTGATCCGGAATTCGGTCGAATTCGACGATAACAAAGCAAAGGGGAAATCAGTCGACACGAGCGCGATGCGCTCTGCCCGCTCTGCTATGAGCATGAGCAGGACAGGGCTCTCTGTGATATCGTTGATGGGAATAATTATGCGTGTCTGCTTCATTCAGTTATCTACATCGAAGAATCGATACACATGCGTAATACACATCAGTCAGTCATGCAGTGACTCACTTCTTTCTATCATCCCATGTAACCAAACGTCCGGTCCCAACGACTCGATCTATTTCATCCTGGGCTTTCTTCAGAATCCGGGGATGATGTATCAGGTATTTGAAGATCTGAGTAATAACGGTGGGAATTGTAGAGCCCGTGGCGATCAATGTATCGACCAACATCATGATCAGTTGTTGCTTGGAGAAAGTCTGCGATTTATCTTCCTTATTCAAGATGTTGAGATACCTGTTGACGTATCCTCCGCCCGCATCATCACCGGGAATGGCGTCCTGGGACTTGAGATATTCCTGACGTACGATGATGCAGAATGCAGAATGCAGAATGCAGAACTTGATGCTATTATCGAGGCGCATATCTGATATAATACTTTGTTCTTTTTTTCAGTAGTTGAAAGAGATAAGTTGTACTCGAAAGATATCAATCAATACCTACAATTGGGCATTCGATAGCCCTGAATTTACCTGGATAATGTCAACTATCGCATAATGTGCTTTCATTATATCACTGAATCCAAACATATTTCCGAAATATCTCAATATAGGTAGGAAAGAGATCGCACCGCCTGTCGAGTCCAGCGATCTTTGGAACAGGAAAGCCATGCGATAAATTCATCGTGGAATGTCGTGCTCGCTTCTGCAGAATCTCTGACCGAACAACACGTACCAGATAGAACTGTATATTGTTGGGGACAGAATGTCCGGAGAAAGCACCGAGTTGTCTTTCATTACTTCCTACGAATAGTAGGACTTTTTCAAACTTTCCACTCTTCATCTACATATCTCTTTGTAAAATTATTTCATATCCGTCAACTTCGTGCCATGGAATACCATGGAAGTAGTTGTACCTTCTCTCCATCGTAGACAGGCCCGTGTTTCAAGATATCGATAAGCAGAGCAGTCTCGTCGGAAATCTCTTTCTCAATGGCATTCTGTCGTCGTCCGAATCCGAAATCTCGTGCATTGCGAAGAACTAATTTCCTTTGCTCGTGCCAAAGCGTGCCGTCGGAGAAAAATATACCTACAATTATACACAACTGTTGAGTTAATTGTAAATTGCAAGAGAAAGATCCACCGTGTGTGCGATTCAACCATGTTAATCAATAAGGATTGATATATTTCCTGAAAGACGAGGAAATATTATAAAATATGTTACATTGTATCCAAGTTACGTAAAACAGAAAGCTGGGACTATCCTTTTCCTATTACCTACTGCTTTTCCGAAGGTTCGTGCTTTTAGAACTTCCACTTGTGTGACTCGACCATCGAACTCATCTCTCTCAAGTACTTGCTTTATACTGGCATAATCGTTTGCCACAACTACCCAAATGCTGCCAAAGTAACAGCCGATGATTTTCGATTTTAGTTTTTCCGCATAATATTCGATGGTTTTATACGGGAAGAAGTAATTACCCCATAGTATCAGTGCGTAAGATCCCAATACCGGAATTCTAGGAATGCCTATGTTGATGATATATCAGAAAAAGAGATAATCAAGTTATTAGCAGATTCGATCGAGATGCGGTAACTACAAGTTTTGTCAGTATAGCTGCGATACGGTTGCCAAACCACATGAAATTTCAGAGTCAAATTATCAACACTCGAGTAATCAACGTTGAACGCGTATCACAAATGATATTAATACTAATAATAAAGTAAGACCGTTGTATAATAAATAAAAATTTTTCGAAGAAAAAGATAAATTTTTACATCATATCTTTTGTACGCGTTAAACACACACACACACACACACACACACACACACAACTTGAATATGTTTCCCACGGAGTGGTAGATGGGAGTCCTAGTGCGCGGTTATTTCAGGGGTTATCGCAAGTAACATGCGTAAATAGCTGACGATAGTGTTGTTGTATATTTCCGACATGGTTGGGATTGCTTCAAGGTTTGACAATAATTGCCCAACGATAAAGCCTACCGAATTCTTTTATTATATGAAATTATTCTTTCGTCGTATGAAATAATTTATTTTGTTTCTTGTTGGAAAAATAGTCACCACCGCATTATGTTGCATGTAGTCTGACTGTGCAAAGTTTTCAATTTCTGTAGAATTCGTCTTATCCATTTTATTATATATAATATTCCACATGCCGAGCAATGATACAATAACAAATAATACGAACATCAGATATATACTCCTGTTATGTCACAAAAATAGATATGATTAGTCAATCAATCAAAGTCCAGCTTAATCGGATGAATAAAATCGTCATCATTTGAGAAACGATGAAGCCTCAGCGGAAATCAAGCTGTTATTAGACAAGATATAGAGATGGAACATGAGAACATGAGATACAGACACACACAGATGACATTCGCAACGTATTGATCTCTCCGAGTCTTTTATTTTTTAAAAACGAATAGAAAACTTGATGTAAAAACGAACTACAGAAATACAATTTGAACGTGCAGAAGACTCGACAGCGACTACACGCAACTTACTTGGAGGTGAATTAGGCGGTTTGTCGTTGATAAACTTGAAAAACTTGTACGCTGATAGAAGCAGAATTACTACGATATCGGAGACATACTTGAGCGAACGATACACTTATACTGGATAAACTTTATGTGTCGTACATCTAAAATTGGGATACGCAGATATCATACACAGATATCATCAGGGCGCGATGGTCAGTCA